GGGCTGGACTTTTAAATAAGTTATTGGCATAGTTCAGACAATGATTCTGCAAACTCTTTGAAGAAAGAATTTGTGATTTGTCTTCTCATGTGCCCAGGGGCAGTCAGTTACTATAGAATGTGTGAATAAATGACCAGCAATGACATTTTAACATGTTAGCAATCAGAAATAAGTGGAATAACAAATTTCTCTCTCTCTCTCTCTCTCTCTCTTCTGCCCAATCAGCATATTTATGTAAAATTGGTGAAAGTTACTCCAATATTGAGGAGAGAGCGCTGCTATGAATCATAGTTGACATTCCACATCAATTGAAAACGTATTCACTCCAAGACCAACTCCAGGTATTGGAGACACATCAGGGAGGACACAGAGGCCCCGAGGCCCCGGATCTGTTTGGACGTATCTGTGAACCATCTGGAAAGAAGTAACGAAGAAGTGACCCCCACTTAGCAGCTCCATCTTTTGTTCCTCTTGCTCGGGGGTCGGTTGTCCTTCTTGGCTTTGTTAACCCAGTGGTCTTGCCTTGGGACTTTGCTGTGTCCTTGTTGCTGTACGCATGACTCCTGGTCTCTGTTGCCTCGTGGAAGGCCAGCATCATCTTCCTCGTGGGCTGGTCTGCAGTCTGCACGTGGAGAATATTCCTCCGCAGGGAAAATAGCTCTTGTTATTTTTTTATTAGATCATTGGTTCTGCTTCTGTCTGTCTGTCTGGTTCACACACAGACACTCTCTCTTTCCAGGTGTGCACTTCTATTGTTCATGGTGAAGGGTGCTTCTGTCTCTCACGCCTTATTTTGCAATGATCTCTGCCATAACAGCAGAATCCACGGAACAGTGGTCTGGAGGGAATACCACCATTTCATTCTGTTAGCAAACGCATGTCCAGAATTCTTAAAAGGAACTCCGTGAAAATCCAGAGGTGCCTGGGCAACTTGTGAGAAAGCTGCTTACGCCTCTCTTGGAGGGGGGCCTTGGTAATGGCCCTTTAAACAGCGAGGGTCAGAGCTCAGCCAGGACCCATATCAGCAGAGGCCAGAATGCCCTTGGGAGAACCCTCTGTGCCCTGTACAGTCTCTATACCTGAGTGCCTGTGTCAGTTCCCTCGTCTCACTTCTCTGCTCTTCTCACCTTACCCATCACCATTTGCTGCTAGATATGTTCCAAAATTTTCCATCCCCCAGGTGCCAGCTTCCTCCAGCCTCATCTTGCAGATTTTGGGGCCAATAGACATCATAAATAATTGTCCCCATATTTCAGTATGAATCTGGAAAATTTCTAAACTATTCATGGACTGCTATACTTGCTACACCAGTATTTAAGCTGCTATGTTCTCTTTTGGCCTTTCTTTTTCTTTTTTTGGTACTTTGGTTGTTATTTGAATATTTATTCAAATGTCACTTTCCGTTGGGTTCAGCTATGCAAGCTAGTTTTGTCCCATAGTGGTACTCAGTGGTGCACATTTTATTTCTCAGATTAGCTAAACTTCTCAATTCAGGAATTTCCATCACAAACCAGGCCAGTCGAGGCCCTTGATTGATGACATCACTGTGAACTGTGAGGGTGTTTCTCTGGCCCTTCAAACCTTGGCTGGCACTGGTCTGTGAACATTCGAAGGCAGAGACGGTGCATCTGTATGTCTAGGTTTATTAGTAGACTTGACAACTTATTTGACAAATTAAGTCCTGTCTTTCTTAACCTTGCTTTCCCAACTCTGTGAGAGTCAGTTTGGAGGTTAGGAAGCAGGTCGAAACCTGGATCAGACCCTTGTCAGTGACTCCCCCATCTACCCCAACCCTGGGAGACTAAAGCCACAAAAATGTGCAAATTGATGAGTTGGGAGAACCCCTCTGGGCAGTGCCACTGCCACTCAGCTTTAAAAGTACAGACCTTCAATCAAATCAGCAGGCTCTGGGGATGACTCACACCAACCAAACTCACAAGGGACTAATTATAAACTGAGGCCTGAAAGCTGGCTTGTCTGGGGAGAGAAGCCTGGTGGGATGGCTGGTTCTAGTCACTGACTCGGCCCCGGTTCCTGTCTGGTGGGCGGAGTCCTCAGGAGGCCAGCGCTTAGACTCAAAGGTTCTTTGACGGACACCAGATTAACGCAAGGTGAGATGCCTTCCGGCAGCCCCATGTGTGCCCTGTTTCCGCCCTGCAGACACTTGGATCTTAGGAAGTGAGTTTTTATTGAAAATCAGAGCCCCCCTCTCTCGGGCAGTCTTGGGAATACCCGGGCAGACATTGTTACTTCCCAGGCCTGTCTGTCACCAGATCTTCTGCCTGCACCGTGCAAGGACTGGAGGACACATTCCAGTTATTGATGATTCCACTTATGTTAGAGGGAGTTTTCAGCTGGGTCTTCTCGGGACCTTTGGGAAGGGGCCCTCAGCTCCTGGGTAATCTCTAGAAGACACCTTATCTCACCTCGCCAACCCAGCTCATAGGTGAGACCCCACAGGAAGCCTCATCAGTGGCCAATTCCACCAGCCTCACTGTCCATGGTTGGCATTTCTAACCTGATCACCAGATCCTGGGCTTCTGGGTGCCTGATTTGAGGCTTGCCGTTCCCTCTGCATAGACTCTGCTTCTCACCAAGGTTAGAACCCCAACCTTCCTCAGATAAGGAAGGTAATGACCTTCCTGTCTGCAGTTCCAGGCTTCCAGCTCTCACACCCATCTCATAGGGCACATCCTGCCAAGTGTCTTGCATTCAATTTCAAAAAATGATCTGCAGCAGAGGAGGGAACAGTGGCTCAGTGATTCAAGTAGGGGCACTTGCCAGGCATCCCTATGTGACTTTCAATGTTTTGCAAGGCTTTCCCGGCCACAGCTGTGTCCATGTGATGAGTTTTCCGTGGGCCACTAGGAAGATGGCAGTGTGTTCTTAGAGGACACTCAGGGATGGGGGGTTTGGATTGGATCGCCAGGTGCATCCTCAATGACACTTAACATTCCTTCCCTCTCTTCTTCTCAGATCCTCATTGAAGATATTGCGAACAAAAGAAAATATGACTTTCCTCTTAACCGCTGGCTGGCCTTGGATGAAGACGATGGCAAAATCCAAAGGGATATCTTCGTGGGTGGAGCTGAGACCACAGGTAGAAACAAAGAAAAAGGAGACTCCATTGGCTAATAGTTTGCTTTCTACCTGAGGCTCAGTGTTCTCATCTTTGGGCCTGGAGGACTGCAATCAAGTGGGAGCCAACTGGGTCTTCCAAGAACATTCCTCCTGCTCTTGAAAATGTTCTGTTTCTCTGAGCTGCAGTCTGGGGCTCTGCTGGTGCCAGAGGTGATGGAGAGATGCCCCTGAGCAGACACTGACTGCCCAGGGCAAAAGAAGTCATCCATGGGATGAAGCCAGAACTGTGGGCATTTATAAGGACATTGTTTTAACTCCTCCTAATATTGAGTGCTTACTATATGCCAACCCTCTGCTAGGCACCTGACCCATTTCATCTCCTTTAATCCTCACAATGACCCTGTGATATAGGAACTGTTATTGTTCCCATTTCACAGATGAGGAAATGGAGTCACAGAAGTTAAAAGACCTGCTCAAGGTCTCAAGCTGGTAACTGACAAATCCTAAATCTCTATGCTGTATGAATTCCGTGGAAAACCTAAAACTCCAAGCGTGAAAGTCTGTGGAAGTTCCAGAAAATCTATGTTCATGAATGCACGCGTGAGAATGCGCTCTGTTGCAGAGCCTCCCATGGCTCCCACTGCATAGAGGATAAGTCCAGGTTCTGGGGTGTGGTATTCAAATTGCTCCTCGAACTGGCTCCAGTTCACCATATTAGCAGGATCTTTCAACAGCTTCTCCCACCACTTCCACACACCCTCCATCTCCTCCACCTCCTTTGCATACCTCTCACTCTTGCTTGTACCTGTATCTCTCCTCATTCCCCCCACCTCCCCCACAGCTTCTCTCTGCCCTCCCTTATCCTTCCTCTCTCTTTACCTCATGCCTTTTTTCTCAGCCTGTAATGCCATTTCTCTACTTTGTGTTTCCCAAGTTCCTGCTTCCAGTCACTTCCCTGAACCCTCCCCACCTCCTCTACACAGGACAATTCCTCCCGTCTTTGTTCAGGGCACCATGAGCTCCTCTGCTCCAGCGCTGTGGCACCTTGGCCTGGCCTGACCTTTGTTGCACAAGTCATTTGTAACTCGAATCCACAAATTATTTACCTAAAAACATACATTAGAACGGATTTAACATAATCCTTGTAACCATGATGCCATTACTTGCCTCCAGTAGTAGAGGAAAGGGAGAGATGGCAGTCAGAGGCTGGGCACTGCTGGCGACCCCGGCCGAGGGAGTATGTCTCGTGTGAGAACAGCATCCGTGTGTGTATTTTGGATAATAAAGCTGGAGACCCATTCTTTTAGGGCAGTGGCCATTCTTTTTCATCCTCATATTCTCCCAATACCTGGCATATAATAAGCACTCAATAAATGTCTGTTGAGCAAAAGAAGGTGTAAATGTATGAATGAATAATGCATCTATGTAGTTGCACGTGCTAGCTCCCAAATAAGTTTGGGATTTTTATTTCTCTGGGGCCAAGGGGTGAAGGTGGGGGGGTAAGGTGGGGCCAGGGTAGGTGAGGGAATTAACAAGGACTAATGTGCCACTGCCTTAGACTCTGGGACAGAATGAATGAAGGAGACCAGACCTGTCCAGTTGTCGGTCTTTGGTGTTTTCTCTTACTCTGCCCCATCTTAGAGTTTAATCTTCCCTTGCTGGCTCTCCCCCAGAACTCCAAGTCCTCAGACTGCATCCCGACTGACCAGAACCCCACAATGTTCTCTTCCTGCCTCAGTCTCCCCTCATCCCACCACATCAACAAGTGCCCTCTATTAAAAATTATATTTTTAAGTGATGAGCAAGAGAGCAAACTAAATGAGTCTGATAGCCCTGAACATAAATCTCTATTAATGGAGTTGACTATTACAATTAAATTAGACGTAGCAGAACTCATCCGGCAGCTATTAAGAATCTGCACATGATAATTAACATTAATAATAAGTACTATTCTTAGCTATCCCAGGTTCCTCCTTCTCTTTTAGTTTCCTGTGATTAGGGCTGGCAGCTTCCTGTCATAATACCTGCCGTTTATTCCTAGACACAGATACACTAACACACAAACTCTGAAAGAGATGAAGTGAGGTTGAGAGCGGCACTGGGTGTCATCTGGGGAATGGACCAGGGGATTAAGGATGTATGGAAGAGGGAGACCTGGGGAGATGGTGGCCAGGGAGGGGGAAGGTGGGCACGATATGGTAACCAGCAGGCACTGAACCCTCTTCTTTCCCCTCTTGTTTCCACACCAGCTATCTCATACATTGTCACCATCTTCACTGGGGAATTACCGGGGGCTGGGACCAAATCCAAAATCTATTTGGTCATGTACGGGGCCAAAGGGAATAAGAACAGTGGAAAAATCTACCTGGAGGGTGGTGTGTTTGACCGTGCCCGCACAGACATCTTCCACATCGAGCTGGCCGTCCTCCTCAGCCCCCTTAGCCGGGTCTCCATTGGACACAGCAATGTTGGCGCCAACAGAGGCTGGTACTGTGAGAAGGTAAGGGATGCTCCCTCTCTTCTTTAACTTTTAAATATGAACTAACTCTAACCTGCTTCCTCCTTCCTTTGGGTCGGTAACAGAGCACGTGGGCAATGCCTTTCACTGGGCATTTTGGATGGTAATGTGCCCATTCACCTTGTCTTGAAGATGGTCAGGAATGGGGCTGTTTTGTTTATGCATCCAAGGGCCAGACACAGGGTAGGGGATCCAGATGTGCTCAGTCGGTGGTTGTAGACTATCCCGATTTCTGGTGTGGCATTTAGCTTCAGTTTATAAATCTCCCAACACGTAAATATATGTTGTATACTTATGCTTTAAAGAATATATATAACAAATGTGAGATAAAACCAAAGTCAATTTTGTCTACCACCCAACTTAAGAAATAGAAAAGTTTCAATGCTCTTGAAACTCCTCTGAGTCCTTCCCCAGTCATATAATTCTCTCTCTCTCCCCAAAAAAGCATACTGTATTATGAGTTTTGTCTCAGTGTATGTTAATAGAAGATTTTTGGAGTGTTCCAGGAACTTTCCTTTGAATATCTATAGTGTGAGTGGCCTGGGCTACATAGACTTCCATGTTCTAAAACCATGAGTTTGGAATGCAGGTTCAGATGGAGAGGGTGTAGGAGAGAAGGTTGAATGAAGCTCAAGTCCAGAAAAGGGCAGTTAGTTTTTGTATTGAATTCCAGATATTAATTACCTTTCATGTGGTTGATCTTTTTTTACAAGACAAATATAGGGAATTAATTTCGTATCCAAGTTACTTTGGTTCAGATTGAGATTAAGTAAATACGGTATTTAAAGAGGTTATTGAGTATAGAGGAAAAGGTTTGAGATTTGGGCTGGTAAATTGGGGGATGGATGATACCTATTTGGGAAGACTTCTTGGAAGAGGTATTTCTGGATCTAAAATGAGACAAGCAATAGGAAGAAAGTGCATTCCTTGAAGGTCCTAATGTAGATGAGCCTAAACATGGGGCTGAGGAAGCTGCTGAGCATTGCAAGCCGGTCCCAATGTGTGGTCTGCTCCCGCAGGTGGTGATCCTGTGTCCCTTCACCGGCATCCAGCAGACCTTCCCTTGCAGCAACTGGCTGGATGAGAAGAAGATGGATGGGCTGATCGAGAGGCAGCTCTACGAGATGGTGTCTCTCAGGAAGAGGAGGATGAAAAGTAGGTGGAAAGGCCCAGAGCCTGGCGGCCCCCCAGGCAGGGGCAGGAAAGGCCAGGGCGTCAGACCACTGGGCAAGGGCTTCAAGGGGGTCCACTCTGCTTCTCAGTTCTCCTCTGGAAAGGAAGAGAAGGGTCCCCCAGAGAGCTTAGGTCTCCAGGGTCTAGGCCAGTGGTCGGCAAACTGCGGCTCGCGAGCCACATGCGGCTCTTTGGCCCCTTGAGTGTGGCCACGAAGTTTCAATCGCACTGTACATGCGAGCCCACACGTGGTATTTTGTGGAAGAGCCACACTCAAGGGGCCGCAGTTTGCCAACCACTGGTCTAGGCCACACACCTGCCACCAAGGCTGGTACTCTGGTGTCCCCAAGTTGAATAAGCTGCCATGATGGGCTAGATCAGTGGTTCTCAACCTTCCTAATGCTGCGACCCTTTAATACAGTTCCTCATGTTGTGGTGACCCCCAACCATAAAATTATTTTCGTTGCTACTTCATAACTGTAATTTTGCTACTGTTATGAATCATAATGTAAATATCTGATATGCAGGATGTCATTTCATTTTTACAAACTGAACATAATTAAAGCATAGTGATTAATCACAAAAACAATATGTAATTATATATGTGTTTTCCGATGGTCTTAGGCGACCCCTGTGAAAGGGTCATTCGACCCCCAAAGGGGTCGCGACCCACAGGTTGAGAACTGCTGGGCTAGATGAATGGCTCAACACTGTGCATTCTGAATGCACTGGACATAGGTAGGTGGAGAAGACCCTTCTCCCTGTGTAAAACACTTCCTCCATTATGCTACGCTTCCTCCATTAAAGGAACATAAGTCTCCCTCTTTCAAATAGCAAGGAATCCCCGGCTGCCTAAAATTGGCACTTGTTACAATGGGCTTTGTGAAAGTGGGGCACACCTATGCATAACCCGTGCTTCAGTCCCGATCACCTTTGATTTGCTCCTCTTCCCCACCAGTACCAGGGAAATCTCTTTGCTTATTAAAGTTTTTGGTGCAACTTGACCTGTCTCTGCAGAATTTGCTTGGTCCCTGTGGGTCTGGACGACTGACTTAAAGAAAGCTGGTACCAACTCTCCCATCTACATCCAGCTTTACGGGAAGAAGGGGCGGACGGATGCGCTTCTCCTGAACCCCAACAACAAGTGGTTAAGACCGGGCATAATTGAGAAGTTTAGGGTAGGAGAGAAGTGTGACAGGGTGGGAGGGAGGAAGGAGGAAGGGGCGTAAGAAGCATTTGTCACGGGATTCTGGTTTTCTGAGCCAGGGTTGGGTGAAGTGTGAGGACACAAATGTGCAATGGAGACTTGAGGTCCCCATGAGGAGTGCCACATGTGATCTATGGATAATGCATTAAATGGGGGGCGGGTTAGCTCTGGCCCTTCATCTGAATCAGACAGTCCAGAACCAAGCCTGGGGGAAGAGGCAAGTGTGGAAGGATTGTGAACATCCGGGAGCCCAGAGATCCTGAAGCCAGTTAGTGTCAAACCACCTGATCTGGACTGAATTAGAGAGTGAGGAGCAAATTTAAGGGAGCGACAATTTTAGAACATTTTCAAAGAAATACACCTTTAAATTTCCCGTATAGATACATATATAACTAGAGCAAGGCTTGTTTTGCCAGCAGAAGTGCAGCTCTGACCTTTAGGTAAGAATACTTTGCAACGTGCTGCTCTCTTCTCAGAGCACCCCACTGATGCCGCTATTATACCGCTCAGTTCATTGCTCTTTCTGTGTTTGTCTTCCTGGCTAGACTGCAAGCCCCTAGGGGAAGGGCACGGCTGCTGTATTGATCTTTTTGTCTATTTCAATGCCCAGCAGAGCTCGGGGGCTGTGGGCTTGTACTAATTTGCAGGGTTGCCATCTGGATTTTGTTCCTAGAAGTTCACTGCTTAGAAGATTTTCTTTAGTCTGGATCCTACTGTGGGTCAGTTATTTTTGTTCAATTTCACGAGCTCAGACCGAAGCCTAGCTGTCCGTGGCTATCTCACCCTCTGGTTACAAGGGCATGAGAGGATACAGTATATGAGAGTGGACTGAAGCAAACCCATCCTTGTTGCTAAAGAAACAGCCCAAAGCAGGTTCCCTCCTGGCAGGGGGTCAGCTATGAGGATAAACACATTTCACTTGGTTGTCCCCACTCAAACCTTGTTATTTCTCACTGTAGTTTGAGCTCCCGGATCTCGGCAGGTTTTACAAGGTTCGGGCATGGCATAATAGCATGACTCCTGGCTCTGGGTGGCATTTAGAAAAGGTAAGATGCACCATTTCGGGGGTTGGGAGGTGGTTGGGAGAGGAGCGAGAATGGTCCCTTTCTGATGAGCCTGTCACCTCAATTTGCTTTGTATATGTTTGGAGTGAGGGTGGAAAAAGGTTACAGTAAGACACGAATTTGGACACAGCACACAGGGACTTCCTGATGGGGCGGGGACTTACAAAGTAGACTAAGAAAATGCTCAGGTGTGCAGTCTTACTTTGCATTCTGCCCCAGCACCTGGCTGCTAGGCAAATGTAGGTCTCAGGGGCCTGAAGGATACGTATTAAACTGGCACTCTACCTTCCACAAGAGTCATCTCTAGGTAATGGCCTTGGCCTCCTTGAGATCCGATAGCAGCTTGAGGACCACAGGGCATGGGTGAATATCTTTGGTACACACACTTGCTCACCCCAGGACTTCATTCCAGATGACCTTGATGAACACTCTGACCAAGGACAAATATAACTTCAACTGCAATCGCTGGCTGGATGCCTTTGAGGATGACAATGAGACCGTGAGGGAGATGACTGCAGAGGGCCCAACAGTGCGGAGGATAATGGGCAGTAAGTGCTCACCAGTTGTCCATCCGGGGGAGGCAGTGGAGCCTCTACTTGGTGTGCCAATGAGGTTCTGGCCAATGAGCTGGTAGTCTTGTCCACTGCGCATCGTCAGGCTCCCTGTGAATGCCAGGGAGGATTTAGAGGTCCAGCCTCAAGACCATCTTGAAGGAGCCATCTCTAAGGCCTGGTGCCAGAGCTCTGTGGTGAAGGGTATGGGGGATGGAGGGGAGATTCATGGGCCTTTAGGTTGGTTATGAGGGGATGAGAAGAATATGCACTGGACAATATTTCTCTAGGGCTGCCCTGAAATGAAAGGAAACATCCTTTTCAAATTATGTACAAGATGCTCCCCAAAATGGAAGGCTGGATCTGGTAGCCATGCTTGGCTGCTCCTGATGGGTCCTCTATTTAAAGCTAATAGGACCGGGACAAAGCTTTTAATATGGAGTCCATATCCACATTCAAGGGGGTAAAGGGAGATCATTTTGCCTCTAGGTTATAGTAGCAGCGTGTTGGCAAATACACAGCACATGTTCTGTCCTTTTCCTTGGCAGACATTACTGAGCGATCACAGCATTCTCTGCCATTGAGTATGAAATGAGCTTCATAGCCCTCAAATAGCATCCAAGCAGACACTGATCAGAATTGGCACTTAATATAATTAACTTATTTGTTATACTCATGGTAGTCCGTAATTTGTTAGTAGTAAAGTGGTATTGCAAAATTATAGAGTTAAGAATATATAGACAATGATGTCACTCATAGTTCTAGTAGCCCTTATACATATTTCCGTAGTGTGACTTTTCAGGCATTTGCACATCAGTAGAAGCTCAGTATATATTTATTGAAATTATTTGAACAGAGTTAAATACTCAAAAACATAGAAACCCCAAGCAACACATATCTAAAAAGAGATCAGCCAGTCTGTTAGTCTAATTAGCCAATCCTTGCAGTTAGCACTATTTTATGGTTCTTCTTCATTTTTAATTGAAATGTATGGTTACAGAATATTAGTGTTCAAGGGCCCTTAAAATAGCCTCATGCAGATAAGGAAACCAAGGAAGTTCTTGCCCTGGTTCTCCATTGGGTAAACAGAGTTGGACAGAGAACAAGGTCTCTTGCCTCCTGGGTCAGTGACTATACCCTGCCTGCTCACATTCAGTAGTATTTTCTTTGAAAACAAGGCAATTATTTCTCCATTGCATTTTGTGGCATCACTCCACTATGTGATCTTCATCACAGATGTAACTCAGACATTTTCCTGCTCATAATTTGTTTATGATTTTACTGTTCATCTCTCCACTCTTCCGCTTTCACTCATGGGAGCAGGAGTTGTCTGTCTTGCTCACTGACGAATTCTTGTACTAATTATGGCACCTCACACCTACCAGGTTCAGTAAACAGATATTGTTTTGTTTTTTAAAAAATATATTTCTTTGTTGATTTCAGAGAGGAAGGGAGAAGGAGAGAGAGATAGAAACATCAATGATGAGAGAGAATCATTGATTGGCTGCCTCCTGCACACCCCCTACTGGGGAACGAGCCCGCAACCCAGGCATGTGCCCTCGGCCGGAATCAAACCTGGGACCCTTCAGTCCGCAGGCTGATGCTCTATCCACTGAGCCAAGCCGGCTAGGGCCAGATATTGTTTTAAGTGAAAAGTGAGGCTGTAATGTGCAAAGATGCAGGTCTGCTTCCTTCACGGTACATCTTCAACACAGGAAGAAGCTGATGCCCGTCCCATGGTGGCTGTGTATGTGCCCTTTCTCTCTGCTTGTCTTCCTGGCATGTCCTTAGAGAAGTTCCAAAGAGAAGGCTCCATTATGGTTCACAAAGTAGAGTTATCCTCCTTGGGAAGACAGGACACACATGAATTAGAGAAAAACCTAAAGCAAAAAGCTCTCCTGGGTTGGATGGAATCAAATGCCAAAATGTTGGCAGGAGACCCGTGGTCCCCAAACACTGCAATGCCAGCCCCAGGGAGCTTGCAAACAATGCAGTCTTAGGGGTCCCACCTCTGGAAACTAAAACCTGGGAGGCTTGGAGTGAGGCTCAAGAACCTGAATTTGTATAAGTTTCCCGGGGATTCTGATGATGGACTAGAAGTGGGAACCTCTGGTCTGTCTGGGACAGGGATTTGCAGGTTTGCAGGGACTGGGGTGGTATGACATGGGATTTGATAGCTGGGGAAGGAGCAAGGTCAGCGCAGACGAGAGCTGAGCGGAGAGGAGGAGGCCATGCTTAGAGGTGGGGAGCAGCAGGGCCGGTATGGGAGGCAGGGGCTGTCAGCCAGTGGTGTCCCTTCTCTCTGCCCATAGTGGCCCGGCACCGTGTGACCGTATGCACCGGGGACCTCCGAGGGGCCGGGACAGATGCCAGTGTCTACCTCTGCCTTTATGGTGACGTGGGGGACACGGGGGAGCGGCTGCTGTACACCTGCAAGAATAACGACGAGATGTTTCAGAAAGGCAACGTGAGTTGCAGCAATGAGCCACCACCCCTCCCCGCCCTCACCCTCACCACCCCCATTTTCACACCCCACTCTGCTCTGCCAAGCACAGCTGACGGCTGGTACTGAGCCATCTAAGAGTCTGGCTCCGGGTAAGGGGAGTGGGGACCTAACATGCCTGAGACCCACGGGCTCGAGGACCATCCGGCTGGGACTCTGGCTTTGCTGTGTCTCCCCCTTGGTGTTGGGTGCCAAGGGAACACTGTCTCACTGGCCTCACGTCCTCCCTGCCCTCCATGTCCTCCATGTCCTCCCTGCCTCCCCCTCTGAAGGCAGATGAGTTCACCATTGAGTCGGTCACCATGCGGAAGGTGAGGCGGGTGAGGATCAGACACACGGGCGTAGGCGGGGGCAGTGGCTGGTTCCTGGACCGGGTGCTGGTGAGAGAGGAGGGACAGCCTGAGAGCGACAATGTGGAGTACCCATGTCTCAGGTATGTGGGTCCTGCCTGCTTTTAGTTTTCCAGCTTATGTTATGGGCCCCAGTTCTGGGAAGACCCAGCCCTACCAGCAGGACCAGGGAGCAAAACAGTGGCTTAGGGAAGTAATTGGTGCAGAAAGAGATGGCCCTGCTGGTGGTGCTAGGCTCGTCCCCAACCCACAGGTGATGGATGGCACACCAGTGTCCCTGTGTGGTGCTAGCGTGTGCACTTAAGTTCTAAGATGTCAGCATTTTTTTCATGTTGAAATGTGACAATTTCAGAATTCAACCGAAAGTTAACTCAGAGAGTTACACGCTGAATCAAACTTTTGAATCAAAGGTGTTTGTTTTTTATTTGGATAGCCTTCCAATACATCTCTTCCCTGTTAATATATTTCAAGACACCTTACTTTGTTTTCATTTCCCTTCCCCAGCTTATCAATGAGGTAAAGTTCTTTTATTTTTTTCCTTAAATATTTGGATTTTTTTCGTAGCCAGTTTGGGCTCCCACTGACTTCTAGAAGTTCCTGATAGAGACATTTTAAAAATGAAGAACAATATTCGTGGGTCTTTTTTGTGCTGTCAAGTTGGCCCCCTAAACTCACCAGTAGCAACGTCTGGGAGGTGTACGTAGTGAGCTTTATTTGAGGCTTAGGACTGCTGGTCTTTGCAAGGCCCGGGTCCAGGCTAGTCCTGCACCTGTGGATGAAGTGCTGCGTGTCCAACTCACTTCACTGGGGCTGGCTCAGGCTTCTGGGGCCGCACTGGGACAGCCCAGCTGTGAATGCACTACTCTTCCCTGTCCGTGCACACACATGCACTCAGGTGTGCACACACACACACAGACACATCCCAGGAGCCCAGGAAGAGCAGTTTCCCAGCCATGGTGGGCCACTGGGATGTTCCCACCTGAAACTTTTATGTTCATTGCAAAGGTCTCTAGAGTCTTCAAAGTGTAGCCACTGTTACTATTACAAGAGATTACATAGGCCCATGGAGACACACTTGGTCATGATGCAAGTATCTTGGTTTCCTCGTTGCCCTGGAGAACAACAAGGATGTCTCTTCTGCCCATCATCCCGTATCACAGACCATCTTGAGTACTGGGGCCGAGACAACCCGTGCTTGTAGACTGTCTGAGTTCTCAGGCGGGTCTCCATGCTCAGAGGGAACAGTGCTTTTTGGATGAATTCGCCCAGTGTCTTTGCTGGCTGACGACCAGCAGAGAGCTGGGTCCATGGCCCATGGCTGCAGGTTGATGAGTCACAGTTACCCAGCCCCAGCCCTCAGGGACCACACTAGCACCTCCTTGTTGGCAAATCTCACTCATCCTTGAGGACTCAGATCAAAGCCCCTTCACCTCGACCCTTTCTCCTTTCCTTGAATTCCTGTTGCAGTTACTTTGATCTAACATCCCTCCCTGTCTTCAGTGCCTCGGCCAGTCTACCCTGTCTTCTTAACCAGACTGTAGGTCCTCGAAGGGCTGGACTGTGTCTCAGTTATCTCCTCTGTCTTCTCCTCACCCCAGAGCCCTTAGCACAGCGCACACACAAGGTGGGCTCTCGGGCAAAAGGTGGTTGTTTTGATGATAGCGATGTCCTAGGTGCTCATGGCGTTTAGGACAAACTTGTTTACCATAATTGCCAAGGTCCCACATCGAGTGGCCCTTCCACCCCTCCAGGCTCATCTGCCAGCACCTACCCTTTACTCGCTGCATTCCACCCACATTGGCCTTCGGTCAGCTTATCCCAGCCTATGTTGTTCCTTCTGGAATGTGCCTCCCTTTCCTCTGGATAACTCCTGGCCATCCTTGCCATTACAGCCAAATATCACCTCCTCTGGGCAGTCCTCCCTCCCCAGTCTGGGTTGGGATCCTTCATTCTAGCTCTAGAGGAACCATTTTCCTTTGCTTGAGTTCAAAGTGCTGGCCTCCCTGGTGACTCTGCATAAAATGTGTGATGGTTGGTTGTCTGCCTGCCCCCCTCAAAGAGCTAACAGCCCCTCATTTGCCCACCAGGTGGTTGGACAAAGATAAGGATGATGGACAGTTGGTCCGAGAGCTGCTGCCCAGTGATAGCAATGCAACACTGAAGAGTAAGTTGTTCTGTGACCAGGTGCTGGCGGGCCCTGGGCGTGACAGGCGCCCTCCCTTGGCTACACAGAAGCAAACCCTGGAGAAAGCACACGCTCCTCACTTCATTGGCACCGGGAGGGTGGAGAGAAAGGGGCTCCAAGGGAGGATCTGGAAATCTGTCTGTCTGTGCTGTGCACACAGGCTCTTTGTGGCCTTGGGGATGGGGCCCTGAGAGCATTTGGACCTCGCTTGATTAGAGTAACAGAAGCAACAGCACTAAAGCTAAAAGGGGTTCTTTCTCCTTTTCCTAGATGCTTTGTCCTTCCTTGTGCACAGATGATGCAAACCTTCCTGGGTGATAAAATAGAGTAACCCCATCGTTGTGTCCCACTTAAGAACAGGGGTCTCCAGGTCCACACTAAGTCCACATTAGGGCTTCACTCCTGGCTGGCTACTGACCAGCTGTTGACTTCCTGAGCCTAACACATAAGCTTCTGAGGCTCCAAATCCCCACGTATAAAGCCGAGGTCAGAATACTTAGCAGTAATACTGTGCATATAATGTACTAAGGGGTCGATGCTCCCTTGGCCTCAGATTCCTCATCCATCAGATGAGAAGTTAGTGTTGCCTGCGTTCCTGTTCCTTGAACGTTCACACTGGGTGGGGCAGGTCGAGCAGGTAGTAGGATTCCGCTGTTGTAGATGAGGGGACCCCACAGGGATGAAGGGAACCCTGTCTCAAGTCACAGGACTACTTAGAGAGAGCAAGAGTCCACCCTGGTTTCAGACACCGCCCCCCCTTCTGCTCCATGCTGCCTCCTGCTGGCCCTGCACTAACCCCCTTTCTTCCTGCCTCCTGCCTTGGACTATTTAGACTACCGCTATCATATCCGCTTGAAGACGGGGGATGTCCCTGGGGCCAGCACCGATTCCACAGTCTTCATCAAGCTCTATGGCGATAAATCTGACACCATCAAGCAAGACCTTCTTGTCTCTGACAACAACCTGAATGACTATTTTGAACGTGGCCGCGTGGACGAGTTTACCCTCGAGACCCTGAACATTGGGACTGTAAGTCTCCTTCCCAGGACTGCGTGACATCATCTCACCCATCCCCCTACATATATCTATCTGACCGTGGGTACACACACACACACCACTCATGTACACAAGGATGAACTTATTTTGAAGGGAAAAAATGCCCAGGGAAAAAATGCCCACGTGGGGGTTAATGAGGTACGTTGTTTTCCTCCTATGACCTAGAACAGCAGCAGATATGTTTCAGAGTCTCTTCGGGGATGGAATGTATGTATTTAGTGACTGTAGATCAGCTGCAAAGAGACACTGAGTACCCATAACAGTGAGATCATGGCTGACATGGACAATTTTCTAAATCTGGTGTTTTGGCACCAGACTCCTAGCTAATATCACCCCTACAAACCATCACAGGGAGAATCTGGGGGGCTGGAAGGGACCTCAAAGGCTATCTTATAATTCCATCTAATGTTAGAATTGCCCAGTAAACAACATTTCAAAAAAGCGTAAAAGCAATTTGAATACTGCAGAGCCACGTATATATAAGGATGGTAACATGATCATCTACACGATCATCTATGTTGCCTGTGGGCAAAGATGTTAGAATTACAACGAAAATAGCAAAGCCAGTAAAGTACTGAGTGCGACTGGAAAGAGGAAACATTCCCAGACCAAGAGGGGAGGAGGAATTAGACACAGATGACAGTCCCCTGAGAGGCTGTCCACATAGTGTCACCTACAGGATGGAAGTGTCAGAGAAGAAATGCAGACACACATTCAACGGTGCATGTTTAAAACAAGTCTAAGCCACATCAGTGACATGGTACCAGCCACAGATGGTTAACATTGTGAATGTTTGCTTTCTTGCCAAGTCACCACATTATTATTAATTGTGTGTTAAGTACCCGCCTAAGTACACACCAGAACTTTCAAAGTTCATGCCTCACTTGTTCCCCCACTTGCTTCTCGCAACACCCGCCGGAGGTGAGCTGGACTAAAGAGGGAACAGAGATTCCAGGCAGGAGAGGTGGTGCCCTCACCCCCCAGCTGGCTGCTGGCGGACAGGCCCGGGGCCCAGCCTCCTCCTGCTTAGCCTCCCTCTCCTGAGAAACTGAGGTTGAGTCACAGTTTGTGCAGGTGTTTGGGGAGATAGGGATGGAGGCATGGAGGTTTCTGGGCACCAGCTCCTTGCTCACCCACAGCCTGGTTTTCCTTCCAGATCAACCGGCTGCTGATCGGGCATGACGGCACGGGCATGGGCGCCAGCTGGTTCCTGGCCAGTGTGCAGATCCGTGTGCCCCGCCAAGGCAAGCAGTACACCTTCCCTGCCAACCGCTGGCTGGACAAGAACCAGGCTGATGGGCGCCTGCAGGTGGAGCTCTATCCCAGTGAGGTCGTGGAGATCCAGAAATGTATGGAGGGGGCAGGGGTGGGATGGCAACATCATTCCCCTGTGGGGTGGGGTGGTGGGGTTGGAGGACAGACTGTGGGGCAACTTAGGTCTTATCTCTAAGGGGAAGAGTGAGGGGAGAAAATGGGGGCTTCCCCTGGTACCATGTTTCCAGAAGGGAGGAGGGCTTATTGTACAGATGGAGAAACTGAGGAGTCAAAGGATGAAGCACTTTGTCCTGGGCTAAAGTTAGCATGTGACTTTATAAGAAATGCACATTCTCAGCCCTGTGGACAGGAGGACCTAGTCCATGTCTTCCCCTGGGAAGACTGGCTGAGGAGATAAAGCTGTTTGTTCAGTCATTTATTATATATGTAACTAGAGGCCCAGTGCATGAAAATTTGTGTGCTCGGGGGCATCCCTCAGCCCAGCCTGCATCCTCTCACAGTCCGGGACAACCTCTGGGGATGTCCACCTGCTGGCTTAGGCCTGCTCTCTGGGGGATCAGGCCTAAGCTGGCAGTCAGACATCCCTCTGGTAGCTTGGGAGCCCTCGGGGGATGTCCAACTGATGGCTTAGGGGTAATGGGCCTAAGCCGCAGTTGGACATCCTTAATGCTGCCAAGGAGGTAGGAGAGGCTCCTGCCACCGCCACTGCACTCACAGCTGTCAGCCTGGCTTGTGGCTGAGCGGAGCTTCCCCTGTGGGAGTGCACTGATCACCAGGGGGGAGCTCCTGCATTGAGCGTTTGCCTCCTGATAGTCAGTGTGCATCATAGTGACTGGTCGTTCCAGGTAGTTCTGTAGTTAGGGTCAATTTGCATATTACCCTTTTATTATATGGGATGTTTCTCTGAGCCAGCACTGCTCTAGGCTCCGTGGGGGCAGCCATGAGCAAAACAGATTAAATTCTATCCTCATGGACTTCATATTCTACCAGGAGAGACAAACAATAAATATATATGGCCAAGTAAGAGTTGTGATGAAAAATGGCATGGGGGTGGGGCCTTTATAGACAGGGTGGTGACATCTGTGACTTGGCCACCCATTGCACATAATGCAAGAACCATAGGTCATGGTGGGGCTCAGAGAAGCAAGAGATTATTGAGAAGGTCAGGAAGACAGTGGGACCAAAACCTGCGTTTGCTCACTTTCCTCACCTCTGCGTTTCTACATCTACCCTGAAACAAGTGCACAAGGCTCCCTCCACAGGAAGCTTCCCTGAGAAGATCCCCGATACAAACTCACCTCTCTTTTCCAGAACCCTTTGTGTCTTTCCGTGTGTGCATTTTCTGTCCCCAACTAACCTACAGGTTCCTTGAGGGCTGTGTCACATACACATGTTTTGTAATGGTACCCGCCAGTGTGAGGAATCAACTCCTCCCCGCTTTTTATGAATTAGAACTTGATTTCCAACAGAGTAATACAGATACTAGTTAACAACAGAAAGGTAAAAACGCGGTAGTTCCCTTCCTCTGCCCCAGCCCCCTTCTTCAGAGGTAACAACTTTTCAATTACTTTAGCTTTTTCTCCTGAAATGTACCTCCATATTTTAAATAATGTGCTTTATCAACTTCTTGATTTTTTTTCAGTCAAAGACATTAACTATTGACTTTCTACTCCAGAAAAGGAGGATTTAGCTCTTTAACACATGTGCATGTGTAAGTGTGTGTGTATGTGTACACCTACACACTTCCCCTCCTTCCAGCCCTCAATAAAATTAAGTCAAAATTCAATTTTTACACTATTATGACTATGCAAATATCATTCACTGCTGAAATACCTACTATACAATGGTTGCATTCCATCTTGTATACATTTTCTGTTGTTTTTTTTCCTGGAGTTTAGTGATAGCCTTGTTTTTTCACTTGCATAGGTTTCTATATACCTATCTGCATTTCTATATACCCATCTGTATAGCCACCTGCCTATATAAGTGTGCTAGGACTGCCGTAACAAAATACCACAGACTAGGTGGCTTAAACAACACAAATTTATTTTCCCATAGTTCTGGAGGCTAGCGGTCCAAGATCAGGTGTGACTAGGTTGGGTTTCTTGTGAGGCCTTTCTCCTTGCCTTGCAAATGGCTGCCTTCTCACTTTATGTTCACATGGTCTTTCCTCCGCATGAACAAGTCTGTCCTAATCTTCTCTTATAAAGACACCAGTTATATTGCATTGGGCTCTACCCCAATGGCTCCATTTTAACTTAATCACCTTTTTAAAGGCTCTATTGCCAAACGCAGTCACATTCTGAGATACTAGGGATTAGGGCTTCGACATATGAATTTGGGGAGACACAGTTCTCCCACAATACCATCTTGTCGCCATGTCTCTAACAGAACTAAACATTTGTGCGTGTGTGCAAACCCAACAGGAATTCTGTTGATTTTCTCTCTACCTCCTTCTCCCCTAATCTCTGTCTTAAGACATTTCTTTGGGAACCTCTGCCACAAAGCTGTCCTTTTGGTACTCCCTTTCTTGCCATCTTTTTGGAAATTCCTCTTTTTTTTGGTTGTCCCATTTCCTGGATTTCACGTCTTCCTCTTCTTTGATTTATTTCCTCATTTCAGTAGAACACATTCTACTAGTAGCTCCCGGAGAAAAGGTGGAAGAGAAATGGTGAGACCTTGCATGTCTGCCAATGTCTTTCGTCTATTCTCATAGTTGATCAATAGTGTGGCTTGCTACAGAATTCTGAGTTGAACTTTTCCCCTTAGAGTTTAGAAGGAATTTTTCTACCATCTTCTAGCTCCCTGTGTTCCCATTGAAAAGTCTGGTGCCATTCTGTGATCCAAGCCCTTAGGGTTTTTTTCCCCCCTCTCTAAAAGCTTCTAGGATCCTATTTTTATCTCTGGCATTCTGAAACTTTATGATGTCTTCACTGCCTTTTGTGATTTAGTTTCATCCATGGTTCTTAGAATTCATGGGCTCCTTCCATCCAGAAGCATTTTTTTTAGTTTGGAGACTTTTTTGTATTAGTTCTTTGACAACTTTCTGTTTCCTCTGTTTTCATTAGAACTGAACTCTTAGTAAGATATTGGACTTCCTCTGATTTTCTTACCCTTATATCATTTGTCATTTTGTTCTTTGGAAATTTCCTTTTTGTTCTTCAGAGCTGTTCTTGACTATATCCTTGCTGTGGAATACTTCATTCCAGCTATCACATGCTAATTTCCAATAGCTTGTTCTTGTTCTCTGACTGCTCATTTTTATCTGACCTAATTTTGTATCACCCTGGCTGCTCAATGTTCTGAGAACCGAGGGTTGGAATGGGGTTGGGAGTCCTCTTCCTTCAGAATGCCAGCTTTTACTGTTATCCATGTGCTAGCTCACCCTCACTCCCAGCTGAGCCTGGTATTTCTAGTTCAACTTCTTCAGACTTGCAGCTAGTCCTCTTGCTTTCAACCTCCAGTTTCTCACATTGCCATGGTAATGGAAGATCCTCGTCTTGTTGAAAATAAGTCTTTACTTGAAAAAAAAATCATGATATTGTCTTACAGCATTGCTGAAAGGGCAAGTCTTAAAATAGTCACTGAAAAAAATATGGCCTCATAGTTCTGAAGGCATTTGGCTCTCCACTGGGAAGCGCCCTCTAGTGGTGCAGACCTGTAACATATTTCCACCCTCTAACACAGTGGTTCTCAACCTTCCTAATGCCGCGACCCTTTAATACAGTTCCTCATGTTGTGGTGACCCCCAACCATAAAATTATTTTCGTTGCTACTTCATAACTGTAATTTTGCTACTGTTATGAATCGTAATGTAAATATCTGTTATGCAGGATGTATTTTCGTTGTTACAAATTGAACATAATTAAAGCATAGTGATTAATCACAAAACAATAATTATATATGTGTTTTCCGATGGTCTTAGGCGACCCCTGTGAAAGGGTCATTTGACCTCTGAAGGGGTCGCGACCCACAGGTTGAGAACCGCTGGCCCAGGGGGAGGCACACAGCAGAGCGTGCCAGCCCTGTATTGACTATTCCGCATTCCTAGTGCCCGAGGACGCATGTGGTGCAGTGGGCGACTGGGTTTTGGAGTCTGATCGATGGGGTTTGCCACTCCTGACACCTACTCAATTCCTCTATGCCTCAGTTTGTCCACCTGTAAAATGGGGATGATAGTATCTACACATGATATTGATGAGTTTAGATAAGATAATGCCTGTGAAGCACCAGACACATGGCACAGGCCTGGGAAATATTTTTGTTACTATCATTGCTATTGTTGTGATTACCTAATGTCCCATTTCTCCCCCGCATGTCCCATTTCTCTCCCACTAACATGGCAGTGGTCCACTACGAGGTTGAGGTTTGGACGGGAGATGTGGGCGGTGCAGCCACCACTGCCCGAGTCTACATACAGATCTATGGCGAGAAAGGCAAGACAGAGGTGCTCTTCCTCTCCAGCCGCTCGAAAGTCTTTGAGCGGGCATCCAAGGACACGTTCCAGGTGTGTGTGGGGAAGGCAGCGGAAGTGCCAACAGAGGGCCCAGGGGACGCCTGGAAATGAAGGGATTGGACTAGATCAGTGGTTCTCTGGCTTCCTATTAGAATCACCTGGGGAGCTTTAAGGAAAAACTGGTCCATACCCCGATCAGTTAAATGAGAAATTTATGGGGATTCTTTAAAAGCTCGAGTAGTGATACTAATATGCTGCCAATTCTGAGAACCATGGGAGTAGAGAAATCTAATTTAGCAAAATATGGCACTAGGCCTGTGGTTACTGCATCTATTTCCAGCCCAGTGGCCTCTGATTCCACAGCTCTGTCGGCCTGAGGGCAGGGCCATCTTCCCAGGCAGGATACTGGGAGGCCTGGGGGTCTCCTGGTTCTGCTTGGAGTGCCCTGGGCCTCAGCCTGCCTCTTTGAGTAGAGGAGAAGAGAGTTGAGGATATGGGAATATTGTTAGCAGGAGAAGAGAATGCAAGGACGGTGCTCATTGGGTGACATATAGAATTTTGATATGAGACATGAGTTCCTGTGTGTGTGTGTGTATGTGTGTGTAGGGAACATGATCAGGTTGGTGTTCTGTGTGTGTTTGTGTGACACAAGCAGCTGAGCCTTTAGCAAAAGTCCTAACCCAGTGCCCAGTAGAGAAGGTCCTGACTGAGCGGGGCCAGGGCTCACCCTCACTCCCAGCTGAGCCTGGTATTTCTAGTTCAACTTCTTCAGACTTGCAGCTAGTCCTTGGGTGCACCGAACGCTAGTGCTGGATGGGGCCTCACTGAGTCCAGCCCCTCCAAGCACTACTGAAGAGGCAGCAGCCCTAGCCTCGGGCCTCTCTGAGCCTCAGATTTTCCACCAGTTCAAACCTAGCTTTATAATGCCTGCCTGGCCTGCTTCACAGTCCCTGGAAGGATCAAAATAGTCCATGTCAGGGAAAGTGTTTGGGAAACTGACCAGTCATGGAGATGTGACAGAGCGGCACATCTTCTGGATGCAGACCGACCGGCTAGGTGAGGCAGATGCATCACGGGTGGCAGACAGGTGGGGAGAGGGGACCAGAAGTGGGCCTCTCTGGGCAGGTTGATCACATGGACACTGTGACCTGGGAAACACTGAAGAGGAGATCCAAGGTGCTGAGGAAGGGACTAAGCAGATTCAGAGCCCATCCCCTAAGTAGGGGGGGAGGGAGGGAGGGAAGGAGAGAGAGAGAGAGAGAGAGAGAGAGAGAGAGAGAGAGAGAGAAAGGAAAAGGAGAGAAGAGAGAGAAGAAGCAGGGAGATCATCTTGACCATCACAGGGGTTTAGAAAGAAATACATCTGGGTGGAGGGTGGGGCTTGCGAGAGGTCCTGGAAGGTGGGCCGAGAAACAAGGCTGGGTGTGTAGGACAGAGGGAGCTGGTGGAAGCTCTGAGCTTTGAAGCCTGGGACTCTCCATCTGTGACTCCGCACCAAGCCTGTGCCTGGCTCTGCATGGGAGGTGGGAGGACACCAGGGGCCACCCCACCACTGCTCCCCTCTTTGCACAGCTGGAGGCAGTTGACGTTGGGGAGGTCTTCAAGATCCGACTGGGGCACACGGGCGAGGGCTTCTCGCCCGGATGGTTCGTGGACATGCTGTGGCTGCGGCACCTGCTGGTGCAGGAGGTGGAGCTCACCCCCGAGGAAGAGGCCCGGAAGAAGAAGGAGCAGGACAAGCTGCAGCAGCTGCTCAAGAAGGAGCGGCTGAAGGCCAAGCTGCAGAGGAAGAAGAAGAAGAAGAAGGGCAGTGACGAGGAGGATGAGGGGGATGAGGAGTCCTCGTCGGAGGAGTCCTCGTCTGAAGAGGAGGAGGAGGAGTCATCTGAGGAGGAGGAGGAAGAGGAGGAGTTCGGGCCGGGGATGCAGGAGGTGATTGAGGAGTACAAGTTCGATGTCAACCGCTGGCTGGCCAGGGGCAAGGAGGACAATGAAATTGTCGTGGAGCTGGCGCCCTCCGGTCGGTCGGGTCCTGAGCGTAAGCCTGAGCAGGGGTCAGACAGCCCCCCGCCCCCCAAGGGAGCCCAGGGAGGGGGAGGTGCCTAGCTCTCCTCTCACATGGGAGCCCCATAGGTGGGCACCCCAATAGCTCTCCTGACATGTGTCTTAAATGCCACCATGGACAGTTCCCATCTGGGGTTAGCATTGCTTTTGTCCCAGGGCTCTCAGCAGTGGTTGACTTAGAGGAGCCCTGATATAACTCAATTTTGGGGACATAAAGTAGGAGGGCTGCTCAGGGTGAATTTTCCTGAGACTTCTTGAGATATATAGAAAAGAAAAAAAAAAGTCTTGGGTGGAGAGAGGAAGGGCAGATTTCGTTCCAGGTTAGTGTAGATGTGGAGGTATCTGTAGACACATCTAGCTTCCACCATCTACCTGGATCCAAGAGACTGATCCTCAGGCCCACTCAGAGGCCCGTGTGTCCTCAATGCTGGGTCTTTCTCTGTCTCCAGCCAACACCTACCAGGTCCAGGTTATCACAGGGAACGTACCCAAGGCTGGCACCAATGCCAACGTCTTCCTGACCATCTATGGCGAGGAGTACGGGGACACAGGGGAGCGTCCTCTGAGGTATTCAGACAAGTCCAGCAAGTTTCAGCCCGGGCAGGTATGGTATAGTCTTCTGGCCATTGGGTGGGTGATTGGGACTCAGACAGAGGGAGCCTTCTGGTGGTTCCCAAGGCCTCCCCGCCGCCCGCTCCCCCCGCCCCCCCTGCCCCTGCCAGTAGCTGCCAGGTCCAGCAGTGAGCATTGTTCAGCCCAACCAGGTGTCGTGGAAGTGCCTCCTCTGTAAGAACCAACGGTTTCGATGGGGAACGTAAGAAAGGCACAGGTAGGGGTCCAGCTCCATGACCCCATAGGAACTCACCGGAGATAGCATGGGTAGCAGACACTCAGTGCTAAGTGGGTGGAGCAGGGGTTCAGGAAGGAAGCGTGACCATAAGATGGCGCTTTGAGGGACACAGAGAGATATAAACGGACTTGGTAGTTGAGTATGGTACAGATGTGCAAAGATGTCAGTGAGAGGTGCTCTCCGAAGACAGGACCTCATGACAAAGATGTGGGTAGAGATGTGGAGGCCAGGTTGAGGATACTGAGTCTTCCTGCAGGGCTGTGGTTAAGGCTGAGCCGTGGTGGGCGCTGCCTCTGGGAAGCTTGATGAAACCAACCTAGGGGGTGGGGGAATGAGGGCCTTGAAAGACGGGCTGAGAACTATATCCTGAAGCCACAAAAACTTTTAGCATTGAAAGAAATGCACTCCCCTTCCTTGTATAGTGGGAAAGCATGAAAAATACAGCTGCCTCCTTTGTCCTTAGAAATTGCACAATATCCTCTGGCTAGAAGACTGTCCCTCATATCACCTTTCCCATTCTAAGCCAGGTTCCCTCATTCACACAGAGGAAGAAAGAAAGAAATCAAATTTATTAAAATACTTTTGGCCTCCTCACTGATTTATTTCAGAGAGCTCTGGTTTTTCTCCCTTCCCATGACTTAAGGATCATGGTTTATTTCTGTTTCAGCACTTTTCTTGAAAAAAATTATAGCCACTATGATCTGGGATTAAAGAGTTTAAAAAGTGCCCTAGCTGGCTTGGCTCAGTGGATAGAGCGTCAGCCTGCGGACTGAGGGGTCCCAGGTTCGATTCCAGCCAAGAGCATATGCCTGGGTTGCGGGCTCCATCCCCAGTAGGGGGTGTGCAGGAGGCAGCCGATCAATGATTCTCTCTCATCATTGATGTTTCTATCTCTCTCTCCTCCCTTCCTCTCTGAAATCAATAAAGAAATATATTTTTTTTAAAAAAAGAGTTTAAAAAGTGATAGCTAAGAAGACCCTATTCACTCAGTGTCATCTGTTTCCTGCTTCCTCCTGTGCATATACATACACTCATCCACATTCAATCTTCCCACCTCAATAGCAAGCAAGTCCAGTCCTTCTGTTTCTGGAAATCACTTTGGATTTACACTTTGGCTCCTAGCAGGTCTTAATTAAAATGTGTGGCTGAAGGAGTTTATGCACACATGTACACACATAGCACATATCCAAGCAGCAGTTCGCCCTCCTGCCCAAAACATATATCCCACAACGTAAAATCCATGTGTCCCTTCCTGGTTTGGGTCACAACAGCCTCAGATCCTGGGACAGTGAAGCTGATGCAAGGTGGGGAGGGTACCACCCTCTGAGTGCTACCCTGGCCCTTTCCAGACAGACACTTTCACCGTCTGTGCCATTGACCTGGGGCCCCTGACCAAGATTCGGATTGGCCATGACAACGCAGGCGGCAGCAAAGCAGGATGGTTCCTGGACAGAGTAGACATAACAGACATGAACAATGAGACCACGTGAGTGGGGCTGGAGGGGAAGGAGGACAGGTCATGCCTGCCACTAAGATAGTCTTGGAATGAGGGCTGAGGGTGGGGTGGCTGTGATGCCTGAGGGTGAGGGTGGGGTGGCTGTGATGCCTGAGGGTGGAGGTAGTTGGGGGGCTGTAATGTAGGTTTGGTCCATGTAACTGGCTAGATGGGCATTGCCTCCCTCCCTTCCCTCTCATTGGGCAGCCCCCTGAGTTCCTTGCCATCTCAGGTAGCAGTCTGATAGAACATCCAATCCAGTTCTTGAGGTCCATCAACTCAGAAAGTTGGGTTTTCCTTCCCTGCCAGACCATCACTGGCCCACTCTCCATGGCCAGACTTAGTCACCTATATGTCTCTCCAGATATAAAGCGATTTCCAGTACATTGTTCTAATGTTCTAGGCCACCTGTAAAGGCCAGATAGTAAATATTTTAGGCTTGGGGGCCACTCAGTCTCTGTCGCACCTGCCTGACCTTTTCAGGAGGAAAGCAGCTGTGGATGATTCCTAAATGAGGGGCTGTGGCTGTGCTCCAGTAAAGCTTATGGACATTGACACTGGAATGTCATGTCATTTTCACATGTTGCAAAATATCGTTGTTCTTTAGATTTTCCCCCAACCATTTAAAAATGTAAAATCCATGCTTAGTGTGTGGAATGTACATCAGCAAGCAGTGGGCAGCTTTGGCCCACAGGCCCACTGTGAGCTAGGTTGGAAAGGGGGTACTTTCCTCCCGACAGGTGAAGGATCACCCCCAAGGGAAATACAACTATAGCCTCAGAATCAAATTGTGCCAGAACCAGGACCAGGACTTCAGACCATCAGTGATGAATGTGCTATGCAGTATTTCTAGCAATAGACCCCATTGCCTCTTGGGATGTGCTGGAGGCAGGGGAGAGGCAAAGGGGAAAGCAAGGAAGATCCTAAGTGGGTGTTGTTGCTGCCCAGGGCCTGCCAGTGCCTGGGATGTAGCGGACACCCAATAAAAACATATTTGTAATGTAAACAACTTCTTGGCCTTTAGCCTGGTGTCTCTGGGAGCATGTTCTCTTCCTGGCTTTCCTCTATGCAGGGTAGGGGGTGGGGAGGCTCACCCCTCTTCCCACCTCCTTCCTGCCCCACCAGCCCAAGAGATTGCTCCAGATGGGAACACAGGCACAGCTCTCACATGGCCTGACATCATGGATTTCTACGAGGCCGTCGTGATGGTGCCAAAGAGCCATTAGACAACCCCATGCTGGGATCCAGGGTCCCGACCTGGGGTAGGTCCTCTGCCAGGAACTGGCCAGGTTACCCTGAACAAGTTGCTCCATCCTCATGGCCTTTCATTTGCTCTTTGGATACATGGGCTTAATGATGCCAGCCCAGCTTACTTCTCCAGATGTTCTGGAAATCTAAGGCATTTAAGCTGAAAAAGATAAGTGTTGCAGAAAACGTAGGGACAAGGACAAACTGTGAACATTGCTGCTTCCCCTTGCAGCTCTGTTAGGGTCAGTTAAATCTGTTCCATTGATTTAGCATTTCTGGGCCAGCCCAACAATTTTTAAATTATTGTAGCTTTATAATCTCTTTTTAATATCTGTCACTACTTGGCCTCTTTCGTTATTCTTCAAAAAGATTAGCTAGTCTTACCTTTTCAAATTAAGACATTATGTGATTTGAAAAAAACTATTGGAATTTTGATTGTTATGCCATTAAATGTATGTGTGGGGAACTGCATATTTAAAATATTAAGTGCCACCCACAAGGTACACATTTCCATTTACCCCAGAGTTTCTTTAGGTATCTCAGTAATGCTTACAATTTTCTACACACAGCTGCTACACATTCCTGTTAAGTTTACAACAGGTATTTTAGTTTTATCACTCTTGGGAATGGAACCCCCTCATTACTCATCTCTCTTCCTCCCCATCCTTTTTCCCTCCTTTCTCCACTCCTTGCTCCCCTCATTGCCTCCTCTTCCTCACCCTCCTTTCCTGTTGTGTGTTTATATGTCTTCATTTCCTTGTATTGAAGCCACAGTAAGGGCTCCGTGTGCAACCCTCTCTGCTAAAGTAGTCTGGCTAACAGATTAGCTCCAGAAAGGGTTGGAACAGTCCCCAGGAGCCCCTCTTCACTAGATGCCTCCAATATGACCCTGATTGAGGGTCAGCTGTGCCCCAGGCTGTTACACAGCATTTTCAATGGGTTGTCTGGAGACTCATCCCCACATTTGTTCTCTGCAAAAGGTAAGTGACACTGCTGGGGTGATTACTAGGCTAGGTAGGATGGGGGCAATGTCATGGAGGGCAGGCAGGGGAGCATTTGGGCTCCGCACTGAGGGCCTCTAATTTCTCAGCCCATGACTACTCCTTCATGAGACCTTTCCACGGAGATATTCCCAACCTCTCCTCATTCCCCACCCCCACAGGTACTACTTCCCATGCCAACGCTGGCTGTCAGTGGAGGAGGATGATGGCCAGGTGTCCAGGGAGCTGTTGTCAGTGGATGAGTCCTATGTGCTGCCGCCGAGCGAGGACGAGGAGGGTGGGGGTGGTGGTGAAAACAACGCCCTCGACAACATGGGCCTGGAGCAGAAAGGTTTCCTCAACTAGGGCTGATTTCTTCCCTCCAGCATCCCTCCCCTTTGCCTCTGCCCCATCCTAGGTCTCCATCTTCCCTCCTTCCCCTGTGAACTCTGGATACTTCTTCCTCTGGCATCCTATCTGTACTGCCCTCTCATTCTTCCATGGCAAGAATGGGGAGGTGGGTGAGCATATTCATACATGTCCAGCATAAGCCTGGGTATGTACAGAAAAAAGGTATGGAATGAAATAGAATATGATACGATAAGGTAGGGTAGGATAGAATAGAATAGAATAGAATAGAATAGAATAGAATAGAATAGAATAGAATAGAATAGAATAGAAGAGCTGGTTCTGACTTGGCCTTGTATTCTCCCTTCCAGGCATATTAGAGGCCCTTAATACATTTTTGTCAAGAAAAAGAATGAACTTTCAAGAGTTCTGTGGTTTTTGTACTCCCTTCCTTGCAACTCAAATTCCTAAAAGTCTTCCAAACCTGGAGGAGTCAGACTAAGGTTTCTGGATGAGGAGCCTCTGACCCTCACAGCCACCCAAGTCTCCCCTAAGCATCCTACAACCATATTGGTTGAGGGCTTTCAGTGTGAGTTGGAGGTAAGGAAGACCTCATCTCTGCCTTCAGGATGTTTCCAGACTAAAGGCAACTGCAGAGCAACACATCCTGCAAGCACAGCGATTCATAGGAATGGTCAACACGAACATAGAAACACACTCAGTATGTTTCTCTCTCCTTCCTGCAGGGGAGGAGCCATCTGCCACTCACTTCTCCACACTCCTCTCCTGCAGATAAATCTACCACATTCCAAGTGACCATAAAGACTGGGGACAAGAAGAATGCAGGCACAGATGCCAATGTCTTCATCACGCTCTTTGGTACACAAGACGACACTGGTAAGAAAACAGTGCAGGTCTGAGGTTCACCCACATTATCCCCAGAGAGACTGGAAGACTCAGCAGAATGTTCCAAGGAAATCCTGGTCCTCCCTCCCTCCCCCTCTCTCTTTTAAAAAAATCCCTTTTAAGAATCCCCCTTTATCATTTTATTGTATTTTATCATGGGAAGAACACTTAGCATGAGATCTATCCTCTTAAACTTTGTATGTGCAATACATTATTGTTGGCTATAGGTATGTGTTGTATGGCAGATCTCTAGACTTTATTAATCTCACTAATCTGAAACTTCATCCCTGTTGATTAATAATTCCCCATCCACCCCTTTTGACATTCGAGGAAACCAAACCTCAGAAAATTAAACCATTTGCCCAAAGCCGCCCAGATGTTAAGTGGCAAAACCAGGCATTGGACCAAGGTCTGTTTGTTAAGAGTCTGCGAATATCAGACTTTCTACCTGGAGAGGGCTCAGAGCTGGGACTTACAGGGGTAAAGGAACTTGAAGACAATGTGGTACATGCTGAGGCCGGAGGGGATGGCGATGATATTGAGACCACCTCCGATTTCAGACTGATGCCACAGCCAAGGTCCCAGGACAGATTGCATATGTGAGATGGTTGGTGGGGGGCATTGGAAGCCATGCCTTCCACATGCCCCGCCCTTCAGGGGAGCCCCTGTTTCCCCAGGAAACATGGGGAAGGTGGCTTTCTCACTGGCTTCTCCCCAGGTGTAGAGACGTGAGGGGTATGGAAGGAGAGCAGCCGTTGACTTAGGGCCCCACCACTTTCTCCTGGATGATCTCAGACAAGGCACCTGGCCTGTGGGTGTGTCTCCTTTTCTTTAAATACAAACTGGAAGCAAACATACATACCTCAGAGGGTTATTGGGAAGCTCAATAAAGAGATACCCACCAAAATAAAATGTTCCAAAGGTGCCCAGTGGGTGGTACTTGCACAGTCTAAAGCTGATGAAAATTCAAAAGTTGGTCATTATGAGGAAAGACTAAAGGGTTGGGCAGACTAGGTTTGAAAGGTCTCAGGGCCAGCCAGTCATGTTGAGGTCATTTGGTTGACAGGAATGGCCCTCCTGAAATCCTCCAAGACCAATAGCAACCCATTTGAGAGGGACAGCATCGATGTCTTCACAGTGGAAGCGCTGGACCTGGGAGATCTATGGAGAGTCAGGATCGGCCATGACAACTCAGGTCTGGCTTCCCTCCCTCTGCTCCCTGCGAAGAACTTAGGGACCACAGACAGGTCCCAGTGGGTGTCTGGGAAAGAATCTGGGGGAAATTTGGATGTTATCTGCCTTTCATAATTACACAGCTTCCTAAATCCCTGCAGCCCAGTGGAGCCCTGGCTGCATGCAGGATTCTGATCTAATTGGTCTGGGGTGGGGTCTGGACACTGATGATTTAAAATACTTTCCTTAAACCCCCACCCCCAGTAATTTTAATGTGCAGTCAGATTTGAGAATCCCTGATCTAGCTCAGTGGCTCTGAAATTTGAGTGTGTATCAGAACCACCTGGAGGACTTATTAAAACAGATTTCTAGGTCCTATCCCCAGAGTCTTTGATTCAGCAGGTCTGGGTAGGATCCAAGAGTTCATATTTCTCACATGTGATGCTGAGGCTGCTGGTCTGAGGACCCCACTCTGAGAACCACTGATCTAGCCAATTCTTTCTAGAAGCCACTGACACTACTACTAAAGGATGTGCGCAAGTTTGCTCTTTCTCAGTAAAATTGGACTCATTTACTTGGTCTTCAAACCATGTCTTCTAAGCCCACAGAAGGAGGCCCTCCTCTTAGCACCTGGGGCTGAGGGGCTGGGTTCTCTGTTTGGCTGCTATGGCCTTTGTAAGCCCGAGAACTCCTTTTCCCAGGAAGAAACATTGATCCTTCACTGATTTCCCTTCTCTTCATGAATCACAAACTGAGGCCAGGGAGCTGCCATGGGGTGAAATGAACACAGTCTCTTTCTGGCACCTCTGGGTTCCCTGTTTGGAGTGCCTTCCACCCTGGACAGTGTCCTTGCTTCCCTCCCCTCAGACTCTGCCCTCCTGTCATCTCTTCTCCATGCTCCTTTGCTCTTGCTAATGCCACTGACAGCAGCCCGGAGTGTGATCCAGCACCAGCTGGGTACGTGTTTTTACAGGCATCATTTTAGCAATGCTGTGCGCAAAAGGGATGACCTGTTCATGGTGGAGCTGTAGGCATCAGCCATTGAGTAGAGAAGGACGCGTGGAGTCCCTGACATTACCGATAGGAAACCACCATATCGAAGTCCTTGATGGGTTCTGTGTCTCCTCTCCCTCCCTCCAGGCAAGGCTCCAGGCTGGTTTGTAGAGTGGGTAGAGGTGGACGCCCCATCTCTTGGAAAGTGCATGACGTTCCCCTGCGGCCTCTGGCTAGACAAGAATGAAGAAGACGGTGCCATCGTCAGGGACCTCTTCCACGAGGAGCTTCAGACGAGGCTGTACACACCATGTAGGAACCACACACAGCAAGTCTGGCCCTGTTTCCAGATCCCATCACCCACCCTCGCAACTCGGTTCCAACCCCTCCTCCAGTGTCCACTCTGGGCCAGGCTGACCTGGGAGACTGGGTCTCTTGCTCCTTTTCCAAATTCTCTGGGTCCTGTGAAGACTGTGGGCTGAGCCCTGGACCCAGGAAAGAAAATATGGGACTTATTCCAAACTCCACCCCAAACTGGCTGGTGAGAACAGGCAGAGAGCCTGACCTCTCTGGAGCTCAGTGTCCCCATCTGCCAAAACAGAGATATTAGAGCAGGATGGTTGTAAGACCCCAAAAGGAAGTATGATAAAGGTCTAACTGTGAGTTATTGTCATCAGCCCCATCACCTGTCCCCATTCCAGTCATTACATGCTGGGGAGTCACCACTATAAGATTTTATCCTGATTGGGGACAAATCAAAAAGAAGGTAAATGTAATTTCTTTTACCACTAAAGGAAGAGAGGAAGGGAAATAATTGGGTGAAGTTTTGATACTTTGCTCCTCTATCATCATCAGAAAGTATGTATTAAATGTTTCTATACATATAGGTAAATACTAGGTACTGGAACTCAAACTGAAGTCAACCAAACCATTAAAAACTGTCTGAATATTCTAAAATCTGATCTAAACCAAGAGAGTACAATTTTTTAAATCAAATAATTAGCTGTATTAAAATATTTCCCTCCACGCAACTCATACTTAGTATAAATCAGTTATCAAAAAGATTTTTAAAAAATCTTTTGCCTACAGCAATTAAACTGGCAATAGTCAGATCGTCAAAATACTTCCCAGTCTAAAGCCTAAAATAAAGTGACATTTTCTTCTAGTAAAGTCCTTGCATAGACAAAGCAAATTCTAGGTCCAGCCTCTGCCCCAGGACTGGCCTGCAGCCTAGACAGACACACCGCCCGGCAGATGCACACAGCTGGCAGCAGCATTGGGTGGGAACCTTCAGGACAGAAGTGCTCATTTCTCCCTTTGAGCCTAGGACAGGCCTTGCTCTTTACAGAAAAGAAAAAAAGAAGAATTTGTATGGCCTGACCTTGAATACATTCAGTTCGAGCCTAATATTAAAATTGAACCATCTGCCCTTTGTCCTGCATTCACATTTGTCAAAAAGGGGAAAAAAGGGCAGGAAAGACTTGATTTACAGACTGATGAGCTATGGAGGCCCCTTCAAAGTGCACCTCTCCCCAGGTGGGGACACAGGGAGGAGTCTGCTGCCCAGAACCCACTGCCCTGATAGGGAATGTCCTGGGGCCCAAAGCCAGGAGCTCCAGGGGCTGGGGGGCTGTGGCTCAGGAATGGTGGGAACAGGGCCCAGGCATCCTCATCGGGGCCTGGAAGGACCCAGGGCGGTTCATCAAGGCTGCCAATACACGTGAAACCACACGGTAGAGGCATATCAATGAAGAAGGGAGCTGTTGTCATGCCTGACCTCATAGGCTTCAGGGGGGAGGTGGGACATAGCCCGGAGCCCCGAATGTCAGCATCGTGCCACGTCAGGGCTGGGAGGAACCTCAGTTTTCAACCTATGTTCTGAGGACCCCAGGTGTTGAAGGGGTATCTGAGGGCAGCTGGTGGGAGGAGGGGGCTGAGAAGGGACAGTCCTCCGCCCCCCAATTCATGCCATTCAGAGAAGCAACTTAGCTTTAAAAAGTCAAGTGTTTTTTTCTGAATATTCTTGATACATGTATTTATACAAATTCTGCAGTTAAGGAAACTGAAAGCCACAGATCTATCTAGTTAAACCCCCTCATTTTCTAGGCAAGGAAACTGAGGCCCAAAGAAGCATAACCACTTGCCCAAGGACACACAGCAACGCAGTGGCAGGGGCAGAACTAGAAACCAGGAAGCGAATCAGAGCCCAGGCCCAGGAAAATGGGTGGAGGGTGGGCTGTTCCTGCCAGACATTTTCCAGAGCTTTTCCCACTGCCAACTAGTCTCGGGGAAGCTCAATCCCATTGCCAGCTTCTCTGCTCAAGGCCTCACAAGCCGTAGGCTATGGTGAAGCCCAAGAGAACTAAGAAGGGGGACCCCATGCTGCAGAGAGAGCACCTCCATTATTGCCTGGGGGCCTGGAAAAGCTGGGACATGTTTCCCCTTAACCCACTGTCCAGGCCCTCATGGGACCAGCGGTCTCCTGCTTAGGCCACTCCTCCCCGTGGCTTGTGGGTAGGCATCAGTACTCACTCCAGTTCATGACAATAGCACCCATGGAGGTTGGCTGCACAGGATTTGGGGTCGGACATTTCTGGGTTCAAGTTCAAGTTCCACCACTGACCGGCCATATGGTGACCTGGGGGTAGTTGCTTCACCTCCCTGGGCCTTGGTTTTCTCATTTGTAAAATTCAGTACAACAATACCTACTCCACAGGGTCACTCTGAAGGTGACATGAGATAAGGAATATAAAATGCTTAATACTTACTCAGTGAACGATAATGATTACTATTACAAATATTATTACTATAGTTTCACAGCAAGGTAACCATGACAATAAATGAAAAGCAAATTCCTCCTCTGGAGAAGGCTGTGCCACCTGTGAGGAGGTGACTTCTAAAGCGACTCCTTTCAAGGTCAAGATCATAGGATAGGGTACATTTCCTCTTGAACTCTTCTCTGGGTTTTCAAAGTGACCCATAGTAAACATACATATTTATATACAAACTAGAGGCCCAGTGCACAGATTTGTGCACCGGTGGGGTTCCTTGGTCTGGCCTGTGTGGATTGGGCTGAAACCAGCTATCCGATATCCCCGAGGGGTCCCAGATTGCAAGAGGGCACAGGCCAGGCTGAGGGACCCCATCGGTGCATGATCAGGCTGGGAAGGGATCGCAGGAGGGCTCCAGGGCATGTCCGGCCCATCTTGCCCAGTCCCAATTGGCCGGACCCCAGCAGCAAGCTAACCTATTGGTCGAAGCATCTGCCTCCTGGTGGTCAGTGTGTATCATAGAACAGTCAAACGGTCGAACAGTTAGCATATTAGGCTTTTATTATATTGGATGTGATAAATTAAAATGCCACCAAAACAATGTAACGTCACTGTGAAAGAACACGTGAAGGTCAGGTCCCTGGGCAGCAGCATCTCCTGAGAGGCGGTCTGGGGCAGTGGTGCTGTGAAGAACTTCACCTTGCCTGTGTTTGTTTTCTATTCTCACTTCCCCTCTGGCTTTCCCCTAGTTGTCCCTTACGAGATCACCATCTACACCAGCGATGTCTTTGCCGCTGGGACAAATGCCAACGTCTTCATCGTCATTTATGGCTGCGATGGCCTGTGCACCGAGCAGAAGAACCTGTGCACCAACAAGCGGGAGCAGAAGATGTTCTTTGAGAGGAAGTCTGCCTCCCGCTTCATTATGGAGGTATGTGGGCTCAGCAGGCTCTGGGGAGCCAGGCCTGGGGGGTGAGGTGGACCCAGAAGACCAGTGAGTAGACGGAGCCCTGCACTCAGAGGTAGGCATGTCTGATGGGCTACTGTTAGAGGGAAAGGCGGGCACCTCATCAACCTCTCTTGGTGTCAATACATCCAAGAATCTGGGAGGAAGGTGAGCCTCGCCCTATCCCTCAGAACTGGTGTCAGGATCAAAGGCTTCGGGTTGGGGCGCCAGGTGGGGGTGTGGGGGGGTGTCTGTAGGATGCTGTAAGAACCTATCAGGAAGACATCTGACTTTCTGGTGGTGGTCAGGGGGCTTCCCTGAGGAAGTGATCCTTGAGCTAAGACCTGAATGATGAGGTAGAGCAGACACTGATTTATGTAAAGAAGAGGAAAGGGAGGGGCAGGGAAAGCATGTGCAAGGGCCCTGTGGCAAGAAAATGTAAAATCGAAGGGACTGGAATTTGAGGGATATAGAAGATGAATGACTAAAGGGGGAGGGGACTCTTGGGGAGCCAAGGAGAAGGTCAGGCTGGCAAGACAGGAACCAGAACTCACCTTCTGATACCCAAGTCAAGTTCTCAGGCAGGAAATGAGCTGCTACAATGGTAAGAAATGACAGGCAAGGAGATGGGCTCCACCATGAAAAGAGGGGGCAGCCTCCCAGAGGTTGACTGAACGAAGGTGATTGAACTGAGACTAGGCTGCTTTTTAGTGGGGCGAGGGTAAGGGGAGCATGAACAGGGCATGTGTAGAGGAGAGTCGGGGCGGGCTTGGGGGGGACAGTGGGGATGTACTGGGGGAAAGTGAGCCCTGGAAGTTCAAAAGAACTCAAGGCTGGTGCCCTGGGAGGCAGGTTTTTGCTTGGGTTGTACGTTCTTGGACCTGTCAGCCAACATCTGGTGCATTTTCTCCTTTCCAAAGCTAGAAGACGTGGGGGAAGTCATTGAAAAAATCCGGATTGGCCATGATAATACAGGCATAAATCCTGGGTGGCACTGTTCCTATGTGGAAATCCGCAGGCTCCTCCCAGATAAAGATGTGAGTTTCTGATTGATCTGTCCTGCTGTTTGTTGTTTTTTCCCCTTTCCAGAAGAGATTCCAGGTAGATTCATTATAAGAACCTGCAGCCTTATTAAGTTAAGATAAACTCTTCTGAAAAAAAATTCCCTCAGTTCACTTCGAGTGCAGAAACTAGCTCAAGTCCCAGGTGGAATCTTTTGGAAATTGCTTTAGGGGTCAAGGAGGAGGGTCTGGGCAGCCAGTCTCTGCTCCCCATCCCAACCAAGGTCATGCTATTGCTGAGTGACCAAGACTGCCCTTCCTGCTACTCAAGGTCAACCCACAGACAGCAATCCACCTGAACAACTTGGAAAACATTCTGAAACTACAGAATTATAAACCTAGGAGACAATCATAGCTGAGGATATGAGTGACTTGGTAGAAATTTAAAAATACACACCCCTCCCCTTACCCTTTGAATCTGAGTCTCCGGGATGGGGTTCAGATATTTATTTTTCAGTGACTCTGGGAGCTCCAACCTTCAAGAACCAACCGCTGATGTGGTTGTGTAAGACTCGATCTGCTGGAATTGGGCAAGGCTGTGGCTTTTGCATTATCTATGGGCCTCCACGACCCTTGTCTTTGGTCCCCACGAGTGTTGACATGCTGATGAACCCCAGAAGTGGGCAGTTTCCTCATTAAGTGCTAATTTTTCTCTTTCCTCCTCACCCCAGGGTACAGAGACCGTGACTTTCGCTTGTGATCGATGGCTTGCCACCTCGGAGGATGACAAGAAGACCATTCGAGAACTGGTTCCTTTTGACATCTTCACTGAGAAATACATGGCAGATGGATCCTTAAGGCAAATCTACAAGGAAGTGGAGGAGCCATTGGACAGTAAGTGTGGTGCCATCACTCTCATCACCTCCCTTGTAGGGCACCTGCCCTGTGCCAGGCAGAGCCTTTGCACCCAGGAGGAAGAGTCTATTATTACTTTCATTCAATGGAGGGGGCAACTGATGCTCACAGAGGTTACATAACTGCCAACGTTCCCACAGCTAATAAATGGCAGGTCTATTCTTCAGTCTCACTGCAGGGTTTGTACTCAAATCCTTTCCTGGTGATATACATCCAGATGTGTGTTCTCCTGTGCCTGCATTATCCTGGTCCTGTTCTCTCTTTTCTCTTGGTTTATTTGGCTACAATCTGTGGAGCTGGTCCCCTCTGCTCTTGCTGGATCCAGGTGTTCCAATCAAGGATGAACCCCGAAGCATCTTGGAGTCAGTAACTGGGGCTGTTGTGTATTTGTTCTCAGGGGCTGGGTGCAGCTCCAGAGCGTCCAAGGTCATGGGTTTCTCTTCTGCTGTACCAGTTAACTGGGCCCATTCCTATGGCTGTGGTTTTCTCTGTAGGATTTGCACCAGCCGGATCACACTCTGTTCTTCTTCCATTGCTGTAGTACCACCATTTTCTTGTTCTTTTCCTACCTTTCTGAATGCTATTTTCCTTTCTCATGCCATGTGGCATTGCTCCAGGCTCAGTCCTCAGCCTTGTATTCTCCTTTCTTTCTACACTGTGTGAGTGTGAGTGAACACACACACACACTCACACACACACACGCTCACACATACCCATTCTTCCTGGACCACATGGGTGGAGTCATACCTCTGTTTGGACCAGTGATGCCATTGTCCATGTCCACCCCCATGTTATTCACCGCTGGTCAGCTGTGTCAAAAATCAACTTCACCTGCAAAAAACAGACTTTCTACCACTGATCACATACGAAAGAATACTTCTGTATTTTATCTTTGATACAAGATCAGAGATGCTCCGAAACCTTGGAAATACAGCTTATGTTTGTTGCACTGCCTTCTTGAAAAAAAAAACTGGAATAAAATTCAAGATTACAGACCCCATATGGAACCAGAGGGATATAAAATAGCTCTAACATTTCCTTTCATCCGAGTTGCCACTGCCTAGCGATAAAAACAAGTGTTGCCTCAATAATGTGCCTTTCCATATTCATATTATTTTCTCTGACTTTTCTTTGTTTTTGCATTTGGGGGACAATTCCCTTTTGTATTTGCACCCAGAGGACGCCCTGGGGAGCTGTCGCACTGGCCCCTTGGGCTGCTCTGTTTTAATAGCATGGCGCAAACCTACTCTGTGCTTGGTTGTGTTTCTAGGGAAACTTCTTTCCACCAAGAGCTGTGCCGCCTGGGTGGGAATGGGCGGGAGGAGGATCCAGAAATAGCCAGATTTGACTGCACAGCCGCATTGCTCAACACTCAGAAGCGGAATCCGTTTTCCTAATTCCCAAAAGACTGGCGGGAGCAGTGGGGGTGGAAGAGGAGAGCAGGAGGGCATTTAGTCAGTTCCTGGTAACATGGCACCCCACTCTGGGGCAAGGGCTCCTAGAAAATGTCCTGCCGGGTGTGGAGCAGGGCTGGATGCACAGCCAGGAAACAAATGGAGAGAAAAATTGAGGTGGAGAAGGGGGAGGGGAGGAGAGTCAACTGTTATGTTTAAACTGTGACAAAATCCCCGCTGTGACTCATGTCAGTATTAACCAGACAGGCTTGGGTAACGTTGACTTTTAAACACCAAAGAGAAGATTTTATTTGTGATGCAACACATGAAATGCTGAGCAGGTTCTGCACTGAGCTGAGTGGGGTGGGCATGGGGGCCAGGGTGACTAGTCCTGGTTCCTGCCCCTGAGGGAGGCAGGCCTCCAAGAGCCATTCTCACAGTGCACCTGCGAGGTTTGGAGAGCAGAGTGCTGGGTGGGGCTATGCAGACAGGGCAGGTGGGTGGGGAGAAGTTGGAAAATAGGGTGCAAGGGGGATGGATCTCAGGTTTGGATGTGAGATTGTGACTGTGTTCTGGTCTAGGTGGGTGTGTCCCCTAGGTCAGCAGTTGCCAACCGGTGGTCCGTGGACCACACTGGTGGTCCGTGAGGTCTGAAAGGTTGGCGACCGCTGCCCTAGGTGACAGAGGTGTGAACCCAGAGCACAGGAGGACACTGGGTTGGAGATATGGACTCATGGACCGCATGGAAGTCAGCACCCAGGGCTTGCAGGGTGAGAGCCAAGGGCAGCGGATAGGACCAGGTGACAGTGGCATGGGGACGGAGGCAGAAGATCAGGAGCCATAATGCTGCTCAAGAGGGAGCAGCCAGAGAGGCTGGAGAGGAGCAGGGGAGAAAATGCCGTGGAATCCTGGGAAAATGAAGGAAAGACTAGGAGCCATGCGTGGGCATGTATGCGTTCCATAGCCATGCTATGAGCAATTCACATCACCTTACTTTTCTAAATTTAATTAAATGTGGCTCTGGAGCCCATTTGCAAGGTTGGTAAGAAAGTCCATCTTAGTCCCTGCACAGAGGGGGATCCCGTTCCAAGGGTCTTATAAGAATCCTGAGGCTACAGACGACGAAGCGCCCACAGGCAGGCAGCTCCCGAGTCTTTCGCCCAGAAGCTGTAGGGGGTGGACGGTTTGAGGGGTGCTGGGAGAAGCCTCCATCCTTTGAGTATTTTTTTTTATCTTCACCCGAGGATATTTTCCATTGATTTTCAGAGAGAGTGGAAGAGAGAGGGAAAGACAGAGAGAAATATCGATGTGAGAGAAACACATTGATTGGTTGCCTCCTGCAGGCGCACCACCAGGGCACCTGCTAGGGAGGAGCCTACAACCGAGGTACATGCCCTTGACCAGTGCAGGCTGACACTATCCACTGAGCCAAACCGGGTAGGGCCATCTTTTGGGTCTTAGAGACCACCTTTGTCAGATCAGATGGGCAACTTCCCTCTGGTGAATCCACGAGGAATTGAGCAGATAATAGGAAAACACTAACTCCTCCTTGAGCCCTGGGCCAGATGCCTGAACCTCCAGTTACCCCCAAACCTAAAGTGATGCCATCTTTTTTTCCCCTTTGTCCGTCCCTCTGTCTGTTTTTCTGTCCATGTGCCGGCCCAGTTGTGCTGTACTCGGTGCAGATCTTCACAGGAAATGTTCCCGGGGCAGGAACGGACGCCAAGGTCTACATCACCATCTATGGAGACCTGGGGGACACCGGAGAGCGGTACCTCGGCAAGTCGGAGAACCGCACCAACAAGTTTGAGAGAGGGACGGTAGGAGGGCACACGAAGTTGACCCCCTTCCCTTCTCCTCCCCAGATAACATCCCACACATGAAACTGCCATAGTTATTTCCCTGTTCCCCAAGCGCTAAACACCGGATGGCTCCAAATTTTCCACTGTAACAATTATCCGGCAACAGACATCCTTGCTCACCTGAGAAAGTGTCCCCCCAGGAAGTGGGATTGCTGTGTCATAAGGTGTGCTCATTGTTGCTCCAATGCACTCAGTCACTAGCCAGTGCCCCAAGGCCTGCTCGAGTCCACACCTGCCCTCAGCCATGCACATCCACCTGCAATTCCTCAGCCCGAAGACTGGCCCGCCCTGGCTGCCTGGATGGCCCAGCCCCCCATCGTCATCTTAATGCCACCACTGGAGAGTCTTCCCAGCCCTGCCTCCAGCCCTACCACAGGTGGTCACTTCCACCACCTGGGCTGTCCCAGGGAGGAATCCTGTAGTATTTAGCTCTGGGCTCCTGACTACACTCAGCACAGTGACTCAGCACATTTTTCAGAAGAAAAGTGCGTGTCACTCGAGGTTACCTGTCCCTCCTCCTCCTCCTCAGGCTCCTACCTGCCACGTTCAATTTGTGTTTTGACTGCACTTTACTCAAGGCCTAGAACTCCACATCTCACTGAACAATCCCCAAAGAATCCAATTACCCGAGTGTAATGTCACTTTACTGAAGGCATAATCAGGCGCACAGAGGAAGGCTTTATGTCACACCCTACACAAACCCTCCTGAACCCGCACTCGAGATGATGTCCCCTGCACACTCCTTGCCTCCACCAGAGCCTGCACCCTGAAGGCTGGCCCTCCACTGCCTCCCAGCTTCCCCATGGAAATTTCAAGCCGCTCCCATCATTCAGAAGGACTCTACCTCGTCTTCAGCTCTTACCCTCCAGCCTCCAACCTGAATTCATGCTGATACTCAACTAAGGATGCCCAGTTACCAGGACATCCCACTCCCACTCACACAGCTCATCGGGTCCATCTTCCAAATACCCACAGGGATTTTCCCAAAGGACCTGGATTGCAGAACAGGGCCACATGCAAGCGAGGCCTTGGAATACCAAACTCTCCGGGTTAGAGTTTTGGGCCTGGAGGGCTCCCCAGCTGGGAAGGTCTGCTTAGCTAGACAATTGGGGGGGTGCTGGATGGACGGGATTGGAGTGGAGGGAGGTGGGGAGCCCCCACCCAAGTCCCCACATCTGGACTCCCCAGGCCGACACCTTCATCATTGAGGCAGCCGATTTGGGCGTCATCTACAAGATTAAGCTCCGCCATGACAACACCAAGTGGTGTGCGGACTGGTATGTGGAGAAGGTGGATATCTGGAACGACACTAATGAGGACGAGTTCCTGTTCCTGTGTGGGCGCTGGCTGTCCCTGAAGAAGGAGGACGGGCGACTGGAGAGGCTCTTTTATGAGAAGGTGCGGGAAAGGCAGCGGGGGCGGGGGGGGGGGCTGGGCTCAGCCAGGCCTGTCCATCCTCACACCTGGGGGATCCCCGAGGGAGGCAGGTGCAGCAGGTAGAGGGGGCCTGGTCGTGCTCTCCCCACAGGAGTACACAGGGGACCGGAGCAGCAACTGCAGCGCCCCGGCTGACTTCTGGGAGATCGCCCTGAGCTCCAAGATGGACGGTGTGGACATCGCCTCGGTGACGGGGCCCATGGCCAACTACGTCCAGGAGGGCCGGGGTAAGCCAAGCAGGTGCAGGACATGGAAATGTGTTTAAGATGTTCTCAGACAGGCCATGCCTTAGCTCCACCATTGTCTGTCTGACTCACTCTGAGCTGCGCCATGACAACACCAAGTGGGCAGGCTTGGTGCTGACGGTGGCCTCGCTGATGAAGGTGTCTGATGTCTTATAATTTACACAGTTTTCACACCTACTGCCTATTTCCATCCCCACAACCCTGAGAGGTGAGAGGGCAGGGATTAGCCGCTGTACAGATGGGAAAACAATGGCTAAGAGAAGTTAGAGTGATGATGTCCTTAACCCTCACTGATCAACCACCAGGAGGGGTCACCCTCAGCTCTGCCCTTACCCAGACCCTCTGGGCTATAGATTCTGCCCAGGGCACCCGGGACAAGTCTCATCCGACAGAGCTGAACTGCAGCAGTGAGAACCCCTTCCTGTTCGTAAAGCATCACACAAAGAACTCGGTCAAGCAAACTTAAGGAGCAATGTGTTGAGGGTTGCGGGGGGAGAGGGGAAAGAAGTCCTGAACTAGGTTTTTTTGGAGATTTAAGTTCCACTTCTGGTTCTGACAATAATACATGGGGCCCTGGACAAGTTACTCTTTGGCTTCTGTTTTTCCCTCCTCCATAAAACAATATTATAATCCCCTGACCAATTCCTTTTTCCAACCAGATTTTTGAGATAAGGCAGTTCTATATTTGTCTATTGGACATTTAAATGCGCACTGCCTTTCTGCTCAGTTCTCTTAAGTATAAAGCATGACACCACTATAGTCCTCTCCAGGAGATCACATGGTGGGTCTGTGGGGTTGAGCAGAGAGTGTCGATCATTTTATATTCTACCTTCTCACTATGTGAATAAATGACGGGAACCACGAGAAAGTGCCTCTCCTTGATTAAGCCACTGTGATCACCGTGGAAAGGTCAACAGGGCTCTCTTTATAAAGATGGACCAAGCTCATGGGCAGGTAGAGAAAACAATGCAGGTCATTGCAGTCAGGAAGGTCTAGCTTGGAAACTTTTCAAAGAGATATGGATTGCATAAGCTATAACCCACTACACCAGGGCAGTGTCTCCCAAGCTAGTGAGGAAGATGAGCCAGGAGAAGGGTTTTCAACTTGTATCAATAGTAGCAGAGACCCGGAGATAGTGACTTAAACAATGGAGGGATTTTTCTTTTCTCTCACATAGAAGTTCAAGGGTAGACAGTTGGTACTGAGATAGCAGCCCCAGTGAAGTCAGGGACCTAGCCTCTTTCAACTTAATCACTCTGGCAACCTCACAAGCGGCTTCCATCCTAAAGGTCGCCCATGGTTCCAAGGTGACTGCTGGAGCTCCAGCCATCACATCCACACCCCAAGAAAAATGAATGGAAGGGTAAGGGGGCAAAAGGTGCTCCTCCCTGTTGAGTCAGACCCTTTAAAATAAATTATGCTGCCAGACTTGTGCGGCTCAGTGGTTGAGTGTGTTGACCCATGAACCAAGAGATCACAGTTTGATTCCTGGTCAGGGCACATGCCCGAGCTGTGGGCTCTATTCCCAAGTAGGGGGCGTGCATGAGGCAGCAGATCGATGATTCTCTCTCCTTTTCCCTTCTCTTTCTCTCTCTTTTCCTCTCTCTAAAATAAATAAAAACCTATTTTAAAAATAAAATAAAATTTCCCAACAACATCTGCTTACATATCATGACTGCCCCTAGCTGCAAACAGAACGGATACTGGGTGGGCAACTAGAACTCTCTGCCACATGACCTGAGCAAGTTTTTATGCTGATCCGTCTGGTCTAGTGGATGGAAATGGATGCTTTCTAGAATTTTCATTTACCATGTTACACACATATTACTCTTTTATTCTTCTTCCCTAAATTCCTACTTTCTGTGAGACCTTGGTTTTGCCGACCTCTTTTTTGCTGATATGGGAATCTTCTCGGGCATCCCCTGTACTTGGCGAAAGGTGGTTGTTCTTACCCACTTCACCCGGGAGTGCCAGGGGCAACTAAGTTTTCATGTGGCAAGGATGCTCTCTTGGATCTTCACTTGGGAGTCAACAGCTCCCTCACTCCTTGGAGGGTAGACACTCACCAGTCTGGAAAGCTCCCATGCACTTTGTCTCGGAGGCAGGGAGGCAAAGTCTCCAAGTCTCATTTCCAAGTCCACACCAAGCCTGCCCTGGTCCGCCTGGCCTGTCATGAGGTGGGGCCCCTGATCTCTTGCAGTCATTCCTTACTATGTGTCAGTCACCACCGCCAAGCACAAGGACGCAGCCACGGACAGCCGGGCCTTCGTCATCCTCATCGGAGAGGATGATGAGGTCAGTAACCGCATCTGGCTGGACTATCCCCGAGGGAAGAAGGGCTTCAGCTGTGGCTCCGTGGAGGAGTTCTACGTCGGAGGCTTGGATGTCGGCGAAATCAAGAAAATAGAGGTGCTGGCCCCTGGGGCCTGGGGTTAGTGACCACCCCCAGGAAGGAAGGAGCTGAACTGTACAGGGGTGGGAAGGGCGTGGAGGGCAGGCAGAGGAACTGACCTGAGCCCCACCTCAGAGCAGGTAGCAGGGGAAGACTCCCTGGCCTCTGCCATCACCTTGAGTGAGTCGCCCACCCCTCCAGGTCCCAGTTTTCCACCCAATGGGAATGCCTTGTGTATTCGCTTTCTATTGCTGTGTAACCCATGGCCATAAACTTAGTAACTTAAGAGCACACACATGTATCATCTCACATTTTCCTGGGTCAGGAGTCTAGATGCGAGTTAGCTGGTTCTCTTCCTAATATGCCAGTGTGCTGAAATCAAGTTGCTGGCAGGGCTGTGGTCTCAGCTGAGGCTTGGGATCCTGTTCTAAGCTCACTGGTTACCGGCAAAATCTATTTCCTTGTGGTTATAGGACTGAGGCCTCCAGTTCCCAGAGGCTGCCCACATTCCCTACCATGCAACCCCCTCCAAAACACGGCAGTTCATTTCTTCAAGGCCATAAAAGATGTCCTCTGCTTCAAATCTCTCTGACTTCTTCCATCTCCGATGTCTAGACCCTCTTTTAAAAGGGCTCACCTGATTAAGTAAGGCCCACCCAGAATAATCCTATATAATAAAAAGCTAATATGCAAATAGAGACCTTAATTATAGCTGGTTGCTATGACACACACTGACCACCAGGGGGCAGATGCTCAACACAAGAATTGCCCCCTGGTGATCAGTGCGGTCCCATAGGGGGAGCGCCGCTTGGCCAGAGTCAGGCTCATGGCTGGCAAGCGCAGCAGCACTAAGGATGTCTGAGCGGGCCTAAGCCATCAGTTGGACATCCCCCAAGGGCTCCCGGACTGTGAGAGGGCGCAGGCCAGGTTAAGGGACCCCACCCCCACTGAGTGCACAAATTTTGTGCACTAGACCTCTAGTCTTTTTTATTAACTCAAAGTCATCTGATTAGAGACCTTAATTATATCTGTAAAATCTTTTCCCCTCAGGGGAGGGACTTGGGTCAGTGAATCCAGAGCACATTGGAAGGAAGCACTGCGGGAGGAGGCTGAAGGGGATGCTGAGCAGAGCAGGGAGGGCTTTCTTCCCAGTGGTGCCCAGATCCTCACGGCCCCTTGTGTCTCCTCATAGCTGGGCCATGATGGGGCCTCCCCCGAGAGCTGCTGGCTGGTGGAGGAGCTGAGTTTGGCTGTGCCCACCCTGGGCACCAAGTACACATTGCGCTGCAATTGCTGGCTCGCCAAGGACCGAGGAGATGGCGTCACCTCCCGAGTCTTTGACCTCCTGGATGCGACGGTGGTGAACATTGGGGTGAAGGTATAGACGGGCCCTGAGTGTGTGCATTGCACAGCAAGAGCAGTGCAAGGTGGTGTGGGGGAGTGGTAGGGAGATGGATGTGAGGGAAGCAAGAAACTCATCACTGGGGTGTTGGCTGAAGCTGCAGCCCTGGTCTACCAGCCAGATGCGCTTTGCTTGGAGCCAGGAGACTCAGGTCTCTTTTGGTCTGCCGCTGCGTGACCTTGGGTAAGTCAGTTAGCCTCTCTGGGCCTTGGTCTTCTCCTATACCACCCGGAAATCACGCTTGCCATTCTGTTTCATGTTAAGATCTTAACTAATGTGATCACGATGAGCCTTGCAAAGTAGCAGCTCTACATAGATGCTCAGAGTCAGTATTCTCCAAGTCTGCTCCATCAGCCCCTCTAGGACATGATGGGGACAGGTGCACTGGGGTTCCGTGAGCCTCTGGGAGAGCTGTCCGCATAAGACCCTTTGACCACCTGCCCTGGCTGCACCTCTAACTGACCAAATGACCTGGGGTGAGTTATATAAACTCACAGGTCAGTGCTGGGCAGCAGGCAGGATGCCTGGGGGCTAATGTCTGGGGAACATGGCTGGTTGGCAGCCCAGAGGCCTCTAGTTCACGTGACCCCACAGGCTTCTCTTTCTCTTGGAAAAGCCTCAGGGTCATCTCGGTTCCTGAATCCAAACCGATGGGCGACTAGATTTAAGTCAGAAGCTGTTCCACAAAGGTCAGAGGAAACCACCCTGGCCTGAGTGTGCGCTGTCGTGTTGTCTATGGAAACAGAAGGAAGGGCTGAGTCACGGGCTGTAAAAACCGTGACAGGCAGGAGAGTGGATGCCTGCCCCTCCCCTGAGTGAAGCCAGAGGACAGAACTTTCTACAACATAGACAACCCCCCTCCCTTCCCCAGACGACTCCATCTGTGGCCAGACGGTCTGTGTGGGTGAACACACAATTCCTCCTGGGACCTCTGTCCTGACCCAGGTCCCTGCGTGCATGTGGGTGTGTGTGCCTGTATGTGCGCCAGCCCCCAGCACATGCACAGCCCACGGCGCGGCTGCCTCTCCCTCTGAGCTCTTTAGTCCATGGAAATTCGAACCCACATCCCTGTTACCCATGTGACAAAAGAACACAGGTTTGTCGCTTTACAAAGAGCCACAGGATTCTCTGGGCTGGCCGTCTCCCCAGGACGCCTGATATCAGACTGGAATTACAAAAGCCCCGTTTCAGTGTTTCTTTCTGGAAACACAACTGTGACATAAAAAGAAACGTGTCTGTGTAGAGGAGAGAGATATGGACACAGAGAACACAGGAGTCTGGAGGGAGCCAGTCTCCTCAGGACCACGAAGCGCCCATTTTGGCCCTTCTATTTTCCATGCCTGTCTGGACAAGAGCAAAAAGGCACCAGGCTCCTGCTTTCATTCTCACTAGCTCCGTGCCCATCAGATGTCCTTGTTAGATGGTCTACATGGAGTTTTCTGGTAAAGCAAGAGGCTCTTCAATTACTCCCTCAACAAACCTATGCCCTGGGCCAGGCCTGAAAACACTACTTCTGATCTGGTATCCATGACAAAGGTTTTAGCCGCTGCTTGACAAGCACAGAGCATCCAGCAGGTACAGAAGTGGTGGCATGATCACTGTGATGGATAATGTGGGTTTTGAGTTCTAAAGCTTCTGGTGTGTGGGTACCAGGCACCTGCACAGGTGAGAATACCTACCATGTGGCAGCACAGGGGAAGGGAAGGGCCAGGTGTGTGCAAGGGAGATGGTTAGCTTGGCATTTCCTCTGCCGTGTGTGCCAGCCACTCCTGACCCTTTGGGGCCTAATTGCTAGTCCTTGGGCACCAGGTGAGAGGGAATGGAGTCAGAAGCCAGGGCTGGAAGACACCCCAGGTCATGGCAAAGATGCCCCTTTTGCCACAAGGCTGCTTCTCAGAGGAAGAACCAAGGCAGGGGACTTAGTGGGAGTCCTGGGAAGAGCAGGCTACTCCCACCCCCTCTGGTGAAGACAAAGGGACTATATCCTCTTTGCAGCAAACCTCAGGCGAAAGGGAAAAGTTCCAAACTAAAGCAAAAATCAGGTAGACTAGGTGGTTGTCCCACGTCACAGTCGATGGAGGCTGAGCTCCCTTAAACGGCACCCCGGATGGACTCCTCGCTCCCTGATGTGCGGGGTGTCTGTTGGCTGCGGCACTAAGTGGGGACAGTCACCCAGAGCTGGTGCCACTTCCTGAGGCCAAACCACGTGGCAGGCCCCGTGTCTGCAGCTCTCACAACTCTGCAAAGTGTTTGTCCCCATTTCACGAGGACAAAGCAGAGGCTGGCAAGGGGGGTCTGCCCACGTTCAACAGCCCGCAGGTGGGGGGTCTGGGATTCCAGTGGAGCTCTGGAGGCTCCCAAAGCCACTGTCCTGCCACCACATGCTGCATGGACTTAGGCTGGGATTCGATTCACTGAGGAATTGGTTAACACTGGGGCTCTCAGTCATGTATCTGCTGCACACACATTCTCTATGTGAAACGGAATTCCCTCTAGTACTAAACTGGGCACAGTGGGGGACATAGAGTGACAGGTCTGACTCTTGCTCTCCAGTCATTCATAGTTGATGGGGTGGGGAGGGGAGGGGGGCTCTCTTCAGACCACAGAGCTTGGAGAGAGTGTCGTCTTTCCTGGTGAGAATGAGGTAAGTCAGTGGGGTTGTGGGTGAGGCCAAAGTTCAGGACCCACATCCCTCTCCTGGCAGGAGCTGTATGAGATGACTGTGTGGACGGGTGACGTGGTTGGCGGTGGCACCGACTCCAACATCTTTATGACCCTCTATGGCATCAATGGTAGCACAGAGGAAATGAAGCTGGACAAAAAGAAGGCCAGGTATCCAGGAGCCACCTCTGCCCCTTGCCCCTCACACATCCAGTTCTCCACTTTCTAGCCCCACCCTGCCTTCAGCCAGATTGCTTCCCTCACACACCCTCATACCTTGGGGCCTTCCAGGCTCCACACCTTTGTCCCTATGATTCCCCCCTCCTGGAATGCTCTTCACCCACTCTTTTGTGTTTCAAGACCTTTCTCTTTCAAGGTCCAACTCAAATCTACCTCTTCCAGGAAGCCTTCCTTGATTACCTCATTCCATAACCCACCTGTTCTTCCTTCTTTTTCTTTCTCTCCCTCCCTCCCTCCACTCTCTCCCTTCCTTCCTCCCTCCCTCCCTGCTTCCTTCTCTCCCTTTCTCTCTCCCTCCCCCCTCCTCCCTCCCTCTCTCTCTCTCCTTTTCTTCCTCCCTTCCTTCATCCTTCTCTCCCTCCCTCCCTTCCTCCTTCTCTCCCTTCTTTCCACCTGTCACTAGGAAATGTTTACTGTAAGGTCTGTAGACTAGTTAAGAGTATCATGTCAGTGTGAATCTCCTGGGCCTCAGACTAGTTAAGAGTATCATGCGGTCTGGGTTTGCCCTGTGTATCTACTCAGAGAAGCCTCTCTACTCGGCAGCTGAAGAGGTGACAACTGGGGAGCATGGCCACTGGCTGCCCCGCATTCCCTGACAACTGGGGAGCATGGCCACTGGCTGCCCCGAATTCCCTTTCTATGCTGGTTTTCTCCTGGTTCCCACCCCTGCTAAAGGCTATCCTGGGGGAAGTACCCAACTCCCACTCACGCATTAGCATCGGTGACTGGGAACAGCCTGAGGCTGACCAGGCCAAAGTCTTAGGCTGGGAGGCAACTATTTCACAGAAGGACTTGGGCCTTGGGGGACATGGAGCAAAGGCTGACCATTTCTCCAAGGCAGCCCCTTTGTGTGGGAGGAAGCCAAGTCCCCGAGGGAAGCTGGATGGCTTAGGTGGCTAGCAGAATGAGATTAAGACCCAGAACTGGTAGGTCTTGACTCAGGACCATTTCTACCAGGCAAACTCACTTAATCCAGTATTTCGGGAGCACATCTGGGGTGCAGGAGACAGGCTATTGGGGAGTCAATGAGAACGGAGAGGGAGGCTGAGTAAAAGTCTGTTCTCTCCTTACTCTGAACTGGTCTGTGGCACAACTTGGGCCCCTCACCACAGCCAGCTTCCCTTTTTCATGCCCCTGCTCTGCACCCCCAGATTTGAGCGGGAGCAGAATGACACCTTCCTCATGGAGATCCTGGACATCGCTCCATTCACCAAGATGCGGATCCGAATTGACGGCCTGGGCAGCCGGCCCGAGTGGTTCCTGGAGAGGGTAAAGTGTCTGTACCCTCGCTCTCCCTTCCACCATGGCCCACACCATCTTCCTGCTCTTTTGGGTTGTCGGTGACTTAATAAAGTGCAAATGTCACCTGAGAGGGTTATTACATAAACCTGACCAGTATATAACCCTATAGACCCCCTTTGACATGAATTAATCCAAGAACAGTTTTATTTATTTATGTCCAGTCAAAATTGAATCAGCTGCCAGAGAACAAAGCATGCACTGCAGCAAGCAGAGACTTGGTGTGGGCTTCCTGGAGGAAGTGGGCTGGGGGGAGTGAGAGGAACAGCATGGGCTGGGACAGCGAGAGACTGTGGTGGGAACTTGAAGCAGCCCAGCAAGGACACTAGTGGTGTCCCTGTGATCACTCAGTTATGGGTGCCTCTTTCTCCGTCTTGGACCTCCACTCCCCCTGAATCAGTCTCTCATCCCCCGTCCACCAAAGGCCTTCTATCCCAAGTCCCTCAGGCTCCTATACCCCTCTTAGCCATTAGCAGATTTTTGTTTGAGCCAACAATATGGTGCCCATGCCAAGGGCAATCTGGCCAACTTCAGTAAATGACAGTGAGGTCCTGTCAGCAGATGTGTTAGGGGACCCAGAAGAAGGCACCTTACCTAGTTGGATGACAGCGTTTGGTTGGTCCACTTTCCATCTTTCACTCAGCAAACGTTTCTTGTGGCCAACCTTGGAAACATGTTTGGACAAAGTGCCCATTTCCAAATCCCTAGACTAGAGTTGTCATGGTGGGGGTTTCAGAACCTGTGCAAGGCACACAGGGCAGGTTCTTCATCTCAGGGAGGACCCTTTCTACTCGTCTTGAGTCCAAATCAGAAGAACTTGTCTCAAGACTGGGGTTCTGGGTCTTTGGAGTTCAGACAAAGGGGCTGCATTAGCGGTGGGGGCCGGTGGGTGGGAAGGGCATTCCCATGCCGGGTCCTCTCACCCAGATCCTCCTGAAGAACATGAACACTGGGGACCTGACCATGTTCTACTATGGAGACTGGCTGTCCCAGCGGAAGGGCAAGAAGACCCTGGTGTGTGAAATGTGTGCCGTTATCAACGGGGAGGAGATGATGGAGTACACTTCCTACACCGTCTCCGTTAAGACCAGTGACATCCTGGGTAAGTCAGGGGTCCCCCCATCTCCCACTCCCACCTCCCACTACTCTTGCCCCTCTTCAATTTCTGGCTCAGGCCCTGGACTCTGGCAAGGACATTTTTTAGATGGCCTTCCAAAACTTAGCCCAAGTCATTTCCACAGTGTGTTACTTTCTGTCTGGACAGAAGGACTTCCTCCCAGGGACTGAATTGGCTCTGTTCCTCCTTGCTCAGAGAAGAGGCGGGGAGAACATTATTGAACAGTATGGTCAGCACCTCTGTATTCCTGCTGCTTCCTAATGTCCCTCACCCAGGTGCCATGCACCCCTGACACCCATCGGTTCCTTCCCACATCCCTGCGCTTTGCAACCATCTTCTGTGTGCCAGCTTTGGCCTAGGGTCTCAGGATGGAGATATGACCCTGGGCCGTTGTGGGTTTGATATTGCCATAGAGCAATGACAGTGAGGTTCTGTCAGCACACGTGCTGGGGAACCCTTAGATGGGGACCAGGGACAAGGGTCATGGAGGGCTTCCCAGAGGTGATGCCAAAGTCTAGTTCAGAAAGTCAAACAGAAGCCACTGAGGCAGAGGGGACACTAGCATGTGCAAAGGCCTGGAGCTGAGAGGAAACACTCTTGTCATGGAGGCAGTGCCTCCTACCTACCCCACTCCCCATATCAATCCTGCTCTCCAGGGGCTTGGCAAGGAACCTGGAAAACTCATTTACACTAATTAAAAATGTGTACTTTAGGATTAGCTTATTGGCCCTGTTGGTTTATATTTTCAACAGAGAAGCATTTAGCCAAAGAAATGAAGCTCTCATGGTAAAATCTCAGGCATACCTGATGGGCCAGGACAATTGGTAAAGTTTGTTTTAGGCACCTCCCTTCATCCTTTTCCCCTCACAGTGGAACTTTCACTCTTTTTGTTTAAAGTTCCACATGTTTTCATGCCCCTTCATCCCCTCATGATGCACCCTCAGAAAATAATTGATAAATTTATTGATGACCACAGGGTCTGTATCATCAAAGCTTCACAGGGTCACCTCTTCCAGAAGCATTTTCTTTTTAACTGGAGTCAATACCTCTATTTGCCTTAAGCAAATGGTATGAACTCTGGTGTAGTATGCCAACCAGAGGCAGATCTGCGGAACAAGAACCTTTCCTATTTCCTCTGAACCCACAGTGTGTAGGAGGGAACCTGTATTTCTAAACCATAAAGCCAGTCTACATGGCATTTCATGTAAGTGTGGGCGTATTCCCCAGAACTAGGGGAGTTCTTGTACTAAACCATTCATACTTGCTAACCAGGACCCCAGTGAGCCCACCAGCATGTACAAAGCCCAGAGATAAATGAAGGATAGAGTAGGAGACAAAAGAGTTGCAGGACAGTAGCCAGCCCTTTCCAACATCACCCTGGCCTCACTGACTCCGAACTCGCCCATCTGCATGCCTGGCTCCTCCAAGGAGGCCAAAGCAAGAGAGGCTGTGTGTCGGAGAGGCCAGCACCCAGAGCCCTTGTCTTGTATGTTCCCAGGTGCGGGCACTGATGCCAACGTGTTCATCACCATCTTTGGGGAGAATGGAGATAGCGGGACCCTCGCCCTGAAGCAGTCAGCCAACTGGAACAAGTTTGAACGGAACAACACGGACACGTTCAACTTCCCTGACATGCTGAGCCTGGGCCACCTCTGCAAGCTGAGGGTCTGGCACGACAGCAAAGGTACCTCCCGCTCAAGGTCAGGTTGGGGAGGGTAGGCCTCAGCACTCCACCCGAGCCCCTCCCCAGGATGGTAGGCAACTAAGAAAGGCTGGTGGCCACCATGTTGATACTCCCTTTGGTTAAAAGATCCAGTGTTTTTGGACAAATTTTAGTGGAGGGGCTTAGTCCCTCCTGCTCTCTCCCAGGAGGATGAATGGCTCTCAATTTTCTGTGACATTGGAGCACTGTCTTCCTAGTTCAGACATAAAAATTAAGAAAAAGAAAAAGGCTATGTCACCAGATTCACTTCCTGTGGATTTCCTATAAAGGCTTATGCTGGCCATGAACTTCAGGGTCCTGATGAGGCCCTCTAATACTGGCTGCCAGTCTCTGACACCGATTGTGTGCATATCTAGACTTTCTCAGCTTCTTGATGTATTTTTTCTTCTATGCAAAAATCCGGACAGTCAATTCTTTCTATCTCATCACTGACTCAAAATCCTGAACGAAAAGAGGTGGTTCAGCACCATGGACAGCTACATAGTGTTTTAGGTGCCGGGCTCTTCAAAGACCTTGATTCCTCCCTTGGATAACCCAAGACTTTGGGCTTGTCTTGGCCTCATCATGGCTCTTTGACATAAAAAGAATCCTGAGTCATTGATATTATCTTCTTCCCTTTGTAGGCAGAGAAATGGGGCTTCTCTCCTTCAACCAGACTTTGGATCTGAAAGCAGGACCATGTCACTGACAGGGAAAAGAATATTTCTGTATCCTTATTAAACCCAGGTTGTTGGGCTATTAGGGTCAGGAAGTCCAGGTTCTGTGCCTAACTTTCTCTTTATAGTAACTTTCTCCTCCAGAAATGGAAGTTTAAATGTTAATATAAGCTAAGATAGCTAAACATGTCCTTAAATGCTCTCTATGCCACATTTTCCCCATATATCGTTTAAAAATATTCAAGCTACATTATGCTTCCCTTGCATAGAAATTTATGAGGACAAATATATTTTGTTTGAGAGTTTTCCACACAAACAAGATGTGAATCCTGAAAAATTACTGTGCAAGTCAGGTTACAAATGTTTAGTTAACTTAATATCATAGCAATCTTCTCTTTCCCTGACTCTACCTTTCTATCTTTTTTGTTTATTTAATGGTTTGTTTTATGAAAAATTTTAAACGTGTACAAAAGTGAAGGAAATATATTAATGAACTTCCACATACCCCTCACATAGATTCAACAATTATAATTTGTCATGCCTGCTTTACCCTTTTTATTTTTTTCTTTGGTTTTTTTTTTTTTTGGTTGCTGCAAGATATAAAATAAAATTCTAAACCTCATGTAATTTCATTCCAAACATACTATTTAGTATGTTTCTCTTTTTAGTATGTTTCATATTTTCTTATGAAATCACAATGCTGTTATTACACTTAACAATGATTTTTGTGATATCCAATTTTCATTCCATATACAAATTTTCTTAATAGCATAAAAATGTCTCTGTACTTGTGATTTTATTTGAATCTTTATGCAAACAAGGTCCATACACTACATTTAGTTGTTATGTCTCCTTAATCTCTTAATGCAGACCAGTGTCTACACCCTTTATTTTTCTATGCCATTGACTTGTTGAAGGAATGGGGTCCAATGAGCTATAGAATTCCCACATTCTGGACCCTATCTGTTTGCTTCTTGGTGGTGTTGCTGCCTCTTTTTTCCCCATATTTTCTATGACCTGGAAGCCAGCTCTCAAGGCTTGATTAGATTTAGGTTCAACTTTTTTTTGGCAAGAATACTTTATAGGTGGTATCAGAACGACTTTAAAATGGGACCTGTGTACTTGATGTTACATCACAGCAGTCCCACTCTTATTGACACCCACATACAATAGGACCCAGGGACTGTCAGCATGATTACTCCATTATAAAGTTCCCCCATAAGTTTTCATCTCATGGCTCCATCCAGTGATGATCTATTAGCGTTATAAATGATGATTTTTCTCCTAATTGTCACTTCTTATCCACTTATCAGCTAGAATTCTGTTAAAAATTGTCTCTCAGGCTATTTGGTTACTATGAAATATAGTTTATAGAGGAAAATCAAAATAAACGATTAAATCTTCTCCTTAATTCCAGTTACCAGATAGCTCTTATAATCAGAACAAATTATAACACAAGAGTGTTGATTTTATAATTCATCTTGCTCTGTCTTGCTTCCTCTGAAATGAAAACTCTCCTGAAAGGAGGAAGTTTTTCAACCACAAAATGACTTTATATGTTTTCTTTTGGATAATATGAATTCATAGAAATATAAAGGAACTCAGAAATCATTATCATCATAACCTGTCACACCACTGGAATTTCTCCCCACATGTGGTCCTTTAGCTTTTGAGTTCTCAAGGACGCTGAAGGGTTGAGAGTAACTGAACCAATGCAGAGTGCAGATAGCATGCAGCTCACAGAGCAAACACACATAGATTCATACGTGATGGCTATAATTTGAGGAACACTTCTAAAGGAATGCCTGCCAATTACAACAGAAACAGCTGATTATTTAATATTAGGGAAAGACGTGTCAGGTTTAGCAATGTACTCTACAGAAATGACCCCGTCCTCTGATTGTCAAACAGCAAATGTTCTCAAAATCATAAAATACTCATTTGGCATTAATTAAGCAACTACTACATGCCAGTTGCTATGCTGACATTGGGGAAACAACAACAAATAAGACCTGGTCCCTGCTCTCAAAAGCTTATGATCTAGGGGAAGAAACGCACGTAAATAGGGTGGTCAGGGCATGGCTTCAGGGTGCTATAGGTGCAAGGAGGACACCTGATACAGGCTGAGTAGGCAATGGGGGAACAGTAGGGAAGACTTGCTGGAGGAGGTGATGCCTGAACGGACTCTATAAGGATAATGGGTGCGAGCGAGGTGGATAGTGGTGTCAAGGAGTCATAGGATTCATCCTTCAGCTTTATGAACTCCAAAAGGTCTAGTTCTTGGGTCAGAGACCTCACTGTGAATCTGACAAAACAATCAGCCCTATCCCTGGCAAAATGCCCCTGTATAATTATAGCACAATTTTTCCGGGCCCATAGACTGTTTCAGTCCCATACACAAATCCTCTAAGCATTCATGAACCCCAAGTTAAGGATTCTTTCAAGAGAATTATACTCTCTAGGCCACAGGAGCCCTCAGAGATCATCTAACCCAACCCCTCATTTCATCAACAAGGAGAACAAGGCCCAGAGAAGATAGAGAACTTGTCCAGGACCACACAGCCAGAGGGCTGGGGCAGTGGAAATCAGAGGGGAGGGAAAGCACGTTCACCTCCCATCCACATGATCTCTTTCCCTCAGGGATATTCCCAGGCTGGCACCTCAGCTACGTGAATGTGAAGGACATCGCCCGTGACGAGATCTTCTCCTTCCAGTGTGACTGCTGGCTCTCCAAGACTGAGGGGGATGGACAGACAGTCCGCGACTTTGCCTGTGCCAACAACGAGATCCACGATGAGCTGGAGGAGACCAGTACGTGGGGATCCCAGTGGGCTCAGCCTGGCTATGATGCTTGGGCTGGATCTTCAGCTAAATGAGAATTAGCTTAGGAGGGAGGTGGGAAATGGTGTTGACAAATCTAAAGAAGAGACTCTTACAGCTGGAGGGGAATCAGCTGCCCAATGAAGGAAATACTATTGGGGAGGTATTGGGGAGGTACATAAGTAAACCCCTAAATGTTGTTTGGTGAACCTAAAGCAGCCAAGATACTGGTACCAGATCATGGCTCTGAATCTTATGGACTAATTAGGTAGAGGGAAAACCCACTAGGGACAAGCTCACCCTGCCCTGAGGGCTGGGCAAGGAAGTTTGGTGAGAAGCTCTTTTGTTTTTATACTAGAGGCCTGGTGCACGAATTCATGCACAAGTGGGGTCCCTTGGCCTGTCCGGTGATCAGGGCCCGTCAGAGCTGTCTCGCCCAATCCAGGGGGAGGGACTGCAGGAGGTTGGCCAGCCGTGGGAGGTTGGCTGTTGGAGTGCACTGACTACCTGTGTTGAGCATCTGTCCCCTGGTGGTCAGTGCATGTCATAGAAACCAGTCGACAGGTTGTAATGGTCACTTAGGCTTATATATATATAGATCATGGACTCCTTCCCATTGATGCCGGTAGCAATAGCTGCCAAATCAAGACTTCCTGGAAACAGAATGTGTGGGTGGTGCGTGTGTGGGGGGGGAGGGTGGAGGTGGGGAGGGAGCCAGCATCTCCACCAGCTGCTTTCTCTTTGGTCCCTTCCTCAGGAGATATTTAAAGGGAAAGAGTAATTACTTCATAAGGTGGAATGGCCATCAGGGAGGTGTTTCTTAAATACACCTAGTGTCTGGGTTTAACAGAGCAAAAAAAGGCTCATCAAGGTAGAGCCCATGTAAAGAAAAGATTTTCCAACCTTAGTTATTAAGGTAACACTAGCTATAGAACAGATAAACTCCAAATCTCAGTGGATAACACAACAAAATGTATTTTTCACTCAGGTAATAGTCCAGTGTTGGTGTTTGGCAGGAAGTCTTTCTTCCACACTGTGATTCAGGGATCCAAGCTCTTCTCATCTGTGTCTCTGCCATTTTCAACATGTGGCTCTCACATTTCTAGCAGAAGGGAAAAGAGAAGACTTACTTTCCTACCTTCTCTAACGCATTGACTTATTGTACTTTCTATTGGTGAGAATTAGTCGTGTGGCTCCACGTTGATGCAAGGGCACCTGGGAAATGTAGTCCTTGGCTGGACAGCCCTTCCTGACAAACACTACACTGAGGAAGGGAAACATGGATCTTTGGTGGGAAGCGCCTACCCATCTCCGTCACGCCATCCAAACTACCGAATGACGAGATTAGGTGCTTTGAGAGGTATTGAGCACTGATGTTCCTAGGAGCATTCAAACGAGGGCCAACCTCCCATTTGTCAAGTTGTCTGTATGAAGATTCCTGCACTAATTTAGAGGGTGGACTCCCAGCTTCTGTAATTGCACTTAGTGAGGTGTTGCTGGGTGCTTGGTTTTAATTTAGATGCTATGAGTGGTGCACACTGCTCTGTGACCCCTAGTTGATTTGCATCAACCTTTGTACAGTGTCCCTGCACAACTATAAGCTCCTGGAAGTCAGGGACTGAATCACGCATGTCTGCAGCCCTCTGCAGCTCTGTGGGCTTTGGGCCCTGACAGGTGTGCAGTTAGTTAAGTGCTCAGTGAGTGGAAGAAGGTGCAGTCCTTTTCTTTAGAGCCTCACAATCCTGTTAGAAGGAGAAACTTAAGCCCCTTATGCAATAGGAACACTTAAGCCCCTCGCACAGTGCCAAGGTGAGCAACAGAGGCGCCTCAGGCTACTGGCGTTCAGGGCAGGAGAGATTTGTGAGACTTGGAGCAGAATCACTGAGTCTCCCTCACACATGTCCTGCCTGACAGCTGCTAAGACCTGCGGGATTTGGGTTGGCAGGGAGATTGCAAAGGGTAGGCAGCACGTGTGTTAGTTCTGGAAGAATGTGTATGAACTGGAGTGGGGGAGGCGGGGGCCCAGGGCCCAGGAGACACCTTGTAAAGATCGGTATCTTTACAAGGAGCCCGCAGAGGACAGAGTGGCACCCACTTACACTGCCCATCAGGGGACAGACAGCCACACCTCTGTCCTCAGATGGAAGCTCATCCTGAGGGGAACAAGGATGCAGCTGGAGCCAAAAAGCCATCTCTCAGCTCCCTTCGTTTAACCATTTGGCAAATGCTTATTGAGCACCTACTAAGTGCCACAGCCTATTCTGAGTCCTGGGGACACATCAATGAATAAAACAGAGACCCTGCCCTTGTCACTTACATTCGGTGCCTGTGACTCAGGGGCACCTCTGGGCACTGGGCCTGTGATAGCAAACACCCTCTGGTACTTGAACGGGGCTTCATATGCGGAAAGCACTCCCTACCCATGTTGCCCTTAGGTCCTCGCAGCCCCCCTCCATCCCCGCGAGCCAATGCACACCTCTCCCTCACGGGTAAGGGAAACAAAAGTCCACAGAGGTGAAGTGACTCGCCTAAGGCCCATGGGTAGCTACTAGCACCCAGGTGACCTGATTCCTAGCCCAGGACTCTGAACCACCACAGGAGGTCTTGTCAGTACTGAGCCTGGCTGGCACTCCAGACTGATCAATTGCCCCACACCATTTATCCTCCTGCTCCCTGCCTTCACCTCCAATTCTTGTTAGCAGTTCTGGAAGCTGCTCCCAGCCCTCTGCAAGCATGTGCCTCTGCATTTGAGCTAATGTTCAGCTGAAGCTGAAAACCACTGGCAATCTTTAAATAATACTGATGCCCAGGTCCTACCCCCTGAGATTCCATTGTAATGGATACAGAGTAAGGCGTGGATAGTAGGATCACATGCTCATATGTGCACATACATGTATGCACACCTGTACATGCATGTATGCACACAAGAACTCACACACACCTGGGAGGGCAAATAAGGTCTCTCAGGCTGGGACATCCTCCAGCAGGACCCATGCTTCCCTCTTTACAGCTACCATTTTCCATTCCCCCTCTTGTGGGGCCCTTAGGCCTGGGCAGTCAGCCCAAAAACAGTCTGGTGATGGCCAGCTGCCCAGGGATAGGCAACTCACTGCTTCACCAGGCGGCTCTGTTAGAAAACCCATCTTCATAGTCATGCTCTTGAAGCTTCCATCCTTTGGCAGTCCCAGTGAGGTCAAACAGAAAACTTCAGGAGTGGCCAGGACTCTTGGTTGTACATGTCTGAACCCCAACACTAAGCTGGCTCCAGCAAAAAGAGTGTGTACTGGTTCCCAGAACTTGGAAGTCTGAGGTGGGGCTGTCTCGAGGCTGTGATTTCAGTGTCCCTAGTGGTTTCAGTGTCTCCGAACCCCCTTTCTTCTCAATGGTTTCTTTCTCAGCATTGTAGGAAGATGGCTGCTGGCCACCCCAACCCCACAGCCTTCTAGCTCAATAGCCTCCATGGAAGGGAAGAGAATATTGCCCAGAGGAAGATTCTGACTGGCCAGGAGGGGCCTCTCCACCCCATCCACACCACGTAGGCGCTCCCCAGAGTAGAGAATGTTCCTGGCAACATGAGGTAGGGAAGGCAATAGGAAGCTGGAAGTTCCAGGTGCCTACTGGAAGCCCAGTATCCTGCCCTGGCACTCCTCCACAGCATCACTTCCTGCAGGTCTTGCCTCAAGACAGACACCTGTTCATTCAGCAGCTGCTCACATGACATGGAATGTCACATGTATTCTGGATTGCTTGTCCATCTCCCTCTGCAGATGCCAGGCCCAGAGCACATGCAAGATGTAAAGGGTGGTCTGCCCGCCTCTCCTATCCTGCCACTTGAACCACACTCATGCCTCCTAAGATCAGGGTAGCTTTGCTGGTGGGCCTTCATGCTGGTGACTCACATGGTGGCTCCCCTTCTCCACCTGGGCTTGTCCTGTGGGTCTGCTGGCCCTGTGGTAAGCCTTACATTGACCCCTACTGGACTGGGCTCACCCCTGCTACCTGCCTGCTCTTTCAGGTCCCCCATCCTCTTCTGTCTCCTGTTTCCTCCCAGCAGCCTATCAACAAAGTTGAGAGTTAGGCCTCCACATTTTATCAAGCCCCTGATGACTTGGGAAAGAGGGCAAGGTGAAAATATGTTGAATGAAATTTCCTCTCAGAAGACCATTGACGCAACCAGCAACATTTGTTTCTAAAAATCTACCTAAATGTCCTCGCTTACACCCCTTACCCTCAGGACCCTCAGAAAAGAATGAGTTACAGTCCACATCCCTCCATCTGCATCATTTCTCACATGTCCTCCCTGAGGTCATTGCAGTGAGCATGAAGGTTCCTTGAGCTCCCTGCTCCAAACCATTTCCTTACCAACGCCAGGATCCACTTTGAACTCACAGGCATTTGGTTAGCAGAACACACCTCCCCTTCTAATGGGAAAAAAATTGTTGGGGGAAGTGGGACCACTCTCCCCCCTGTCAGGGTTCTAGTCCCTGACAGTGACTCAGCAATTTTACATTCTCTCTGTCCTAGGCTGGGCTCTGCCCTTCTCCAGGTGTTAAGTGCTCTCTGGATGTCTCTTCCTGTTGTGGACTACCTGAGACTTTGCTCAGATTCATCCTATCTGTTTCAGGTAGCAGAGATTCTCCCTGAGAAAAGTCACAAAGGCAAAAATGTTGCTGAGGGCCTGGAATGGACATTACCCTGAGCACCAGGCATAGCCATCCCTTCACTTAATTGTCTTCATCACGTCTCTGAGATAAAGGCACAGAAATAGAGCTATCTCCTTTGGATTCAGAACCCCAAATCCTCACCAATTAATTTACTGCAGTAAGAGCTTCATGCATAGGGACACTCCGAACAGATATTTATTGTGTCTGTCTGTGTGCCTGCTCCATCCCTGGCCTTGATCCCGGGGATCAGGTCTGGATCATGTGGACTTCAAGCCCCTGCCACACCCCTCAGTATCTTCTCATGCTTCTCCCTCTGCCCAGAACATTCCTCCACTTTCTGCTGATCATAGTCATGGCTCTTCTTCAAGCCCAAGGTGAAATGCCACCTCCTTCACAAAGAGTCCCGTGATTAGCCCAATCATTCATTCATTTGCTCATCACATATTTACTGAATGCCTCTGTGCTGGGCGCTGTTCTGGGCATGTGGGGCCCATCAGTGAGCACAATGAAGACCCTTACCCTCAGGGAGCTTGCATTCAGGTGGGAGGGGGGATTCAATAAACAATAAAGTAATAAGTAAATTACATAGCATGTTAGAAGGTACTAGGTGATAGGGACACAAGAGAATAATAGGTAAAGCAAGCCAGGAGTGCTGCGGGGGAATCAGGTTGCAGTTTTAGATGTGGTGGATGGGGCAGAGTGCAGGTGGTAACATTTGAATAAGAAATAGAAGCTGGTGAAGGAGTGAGCCAAACTGATATGGGTGGGCGGGGGAGTGGTGCAGACAGAGGGAACCCTCATTGCAGAGCTCTAAGGCAGCAGCCCGCCTCAGTACTCTGGGGACAGCTCAGAGGGAGGCGGAGAGGTTGGAGTGAGCCAGGGAGAAAGTTCTAGGTGCTGAGAGAACTAACAGGGAGGCAGGTTTTTCCTCTTGCCTCACAATACTTGGGCCCTTTCTCACAGGGCTCCCACGTTCTATCCTATGGTATAATCCGTGCCTGTGTGTCTGGGGCTAGAGATTGTGTTCCAGTGTCACCCAGAGTCCAGCTCAGTACTGACAAATGGAATGAATGCAGACAAGCTTGAGGGAAGTGAGTGGGGGGCTGTGACTGAGCTGAAACCAGAGTGAAAACTGAGACAAGATGGGAGTGGGACTGCTTGCTGGAGAGGGTTGAGGTGATCCTAGAGTCTTGCCTGCCTGGGGCTTTCCAGACCCTTCCAATAGTGGGCCCCACTTCTCCTCCCTATTATTTGCCTATGATCTCACTTTGTGAGTCAGGGAGCCAGGCCCAGCAGCTACCAGGTTCCCCAGGCAAAGAGGCTGCTACTATAAATAAAATAGAAGCACCATTCTAGCCCCCCAAATCAGGGCAGATTCTATTTTTACTGCCTCAGTTGTGGCCATTTTAACCTGCCCCCTTCCCACCCCAGACTTGGTCTAAGATCAGATGTAGGACCTGGAGGGAGCAGCCATCAATCTCCTGCCCTGATGGTGGGTGCTGCTTCCCCTCTACTGACCCTCTCCCACCTTCTCCACTGCAGCCTACGAGATCGTCATAGAAACGGGCGACGGAGGCGAAACCAGGGAGAACGTCTGGCTCATCCTGGAGGGCAGGAAGAACCGATCCAAAGAGTTTCTCGTGGAAAATTCTTCCAGACAGCGGGCCTTTAGGAAGTAGGAAGAGGGGTGCCCACAGGGGCATGGGGGTGGGGTGGGTAAGAGAGGGACCCCAAGGATGAACCCCCCTGCTGGGAGTCATAAACATATTCATGGGCTTAAACTGCAAGTGCTTATTGAGTACCTACTGTGTGCTGACTCCTAGGGATGAAACAGGAGTTTATAAAGGAAAAGCTAGGAGGAGACTGTCCTTTAAAGAGAGTCTGCCAGCCTGGCTGGTGTTGCTCAGTGGGTGAACGTCAACCTCTGAACCAGGAGGTCACAGTTCAATTCCGGGTCAGGGCATATGCCGGGTTGCAAGCTTGATCCCCACTGTGGGCCGTGCAGGAGGCAGCCGATCAATGATTCTCTCTCATTATTGATGTTTCTATATCTCTCTCCCTCATTGAAATCAATAAAAATATATTTTAAAAAAAGAAAAAAATAGAGTCCACCATAAGAGACTAGAACTTAATTGTTCCAGCCACTAAAAAGAAAGGATGATTACATAATGTGATTGACATGCTAATTATCACTGTCCTGGCAATCATAGTACAATATATGTTATCAAATTAATGTGTTGTACACCTTAAATCTACACAATGTTATATATCAAAGATATGCCAATTCTTTAAAAAAGTTAACAGAAAGCTACAGCAACAACTAGTTAATTAATTAAACTAATTAATTAATGATTGTGCAACAAGACCCAGAATCACTGCAGACTTTTTTATCCCTTGTCCACACAGACAAGGAACTCACGGTCTAGTTGAAAAGGAGGACTTCCAGCCGTACAATTGCAGAAGAAGCATGGAAGACAGCAGAGAATTAAGTTCTGTTTAGAAGGAGGAAGGGAAGGGACAGCCTCTAAGGTTCTTTATAGGAAAACCAAAATTGGGTCTCGTATAAAGGGGCCTCCATTCACAGCTCCCTGTTGGCAGACACAGCCTGGAGAATCTCACCTCCTCCCCGCATCAGAGCCGCCTCTGAGCTGCTCAGATGCCCACTTCATCTCCCCACTCTCTCCACAATTGCTTCAATAAAGTCTCTCCCTACCATAACCCACCTGCCTTTTATTTAAACTCCCTCTAGGTCAGGACAAAGTCTGAACCCTGATTGGCACTTACAGACCACAGACTGCTGCATTTCACCACCTTTCTTTTTTTTCTTTTTTTATTGATTTCAGAGAGGAAGGAGAGAGAGAGAAACGTCAATGACGAGAGAGAATCATTGATCAGCTGCCTCCTGCACACCCCACAATGGAGATCGAGCCTGCAACCTGGGCATGTGCCCTGACTGGGACTTGAACCACTCTCAACCACTGAGCCATGCTGGCCAGGCGTCTCTCACCTCCTTTCCATTGCATTTCCCTCACTGGACCCAGCCTGCAGCCAAGCCAGCACTCCCCCCAGAAATGTCTGCACCTCCCCACCCCACTTTTCCCATCCCATGGCTTTGCCAATTTGGGTCCACATCAAAGGACACGTCCCTCCCTCTCTCATCCCATCACCTTCTCTGGCCAACACCCAGGGCTCAGGGCCTCACCTGCTCTCAACTCCATGCATTGTTGCCTCCACTGGTGCTGGGGCCCGGCAGCAGGTAGGACTTTTTAATGGTGGTGATTGTCTTCTTCCAACCTTAGTTGGAATGAAGGGATGGAGACCTGACATCAGCTCTTGCCATTCTGTTCCTGTTCCTCAGACCAGAGCCTAGAACAGTGATGGCGAACCTATGACACGCGTGTCAGAGGTGACATGCGAACTCATCTTTTTGGTTGATTTTTCTTTGTTAAATGGCATTTAAATATATAAAATAAATATCAAAAATATGTCTTTGTTTTACTATGGTTGCAAAGATCAAAAAATTTCTATATATGACACGGCACCAGAGTTAAGTTAGGGCTTTTCAAAATGCTGACACACCGAGCTCAAAAGGTTCGCCATCACTGGCCTAGAATACAGTTGGTACTCAATAAATGCTTCCTTCTGTCAGTGGGCACGGGTAGCTCTCATTGGCCACATCTTTTTGTCCTGCAGGGGGACCACAGACACATTTGAGTTTGACAGCGTCTACTTGGGGGACCTTGCTGCCATCTGCGTGGGCCACCTTGCCAGGGAGGAGCGGTTCATCCCCAAGAGAGAGCTGCTCTGGCACGTCAAGACCATCACCATCACCGAGATGGAGTACGGCAACGTGTAAGTGTTCCGCCCGCCCTCGCCCCCAGCAGGAGCCCGAGGCGGGGCCATGGGTAAGACAGCCCAGTCAGGGAGGTGTCACCTCATTCAGGAGGCAGGAAGGGAAGAGGCAGGTGTACTGGACAGAATCTATCTGAACCAGAGGCCCACCCCAGGGGCTGGGGACTAGGCCAGATGCCCTTAGGTGCTCAGCCTTTTATCCCATCGATGCTTTGGACGAACTAATGCTGAGCAAGTCAGACAGTGCCAGACAGTGGAGACATTCCTTCCCCTCCCTCCCATCACTGTATAATGACAAAGAAACACAGCTTTGAAGCCTGCTCCTTCCACAGTCGTGAAAGGCCGCCATCCATGTGGGCAGGGCCCTGGGCCAGAGGCAGATGGGGTAACACCATACCCACCTGTCTCCCAGGACCCTCAATAAAGAGCTTTGCCTTCCCCCCACCAGGGCCTTCCTGGGGACTCAGGCATTTTTGGAGGATTAAGAGTCTTCGTTTCCTGGGTAACCATCCATAGTTATCAGTTTGTCTAATTAAAACCACTTGGGAACCACATTGGAAGCCAGAAAAGAGCCTGAGGTCTGGAAGGCAGGGAAGACACTGCAAAGGAACCAGGGAGGAGGGAGAGGAAGCTGAGGGCCGTGCTTGCCTCGGGGAGGGTGGGCCTGAGGAGTGAGTGAGAGCCAAGGTCATAGCTCAGGCTGCGGCATCCCCACAAAACTGCTGCTGGCCCCTCAGGACTTGGTGTAGACTTTTGGGGCTGGCCCTGCCCAGGCCACACCTTTCACGGTAAGCACAGCAGCCAGAAGCAGCCAGATGCAGGCCTGCGGGACCCAGGCAGGCCCCTCAGCTGCAGGCTCCAGCCTTCAGGAGCCCAAGCTCCTCAAACAATGTCTGTTCATGCTCAACCTGCGGCCTGCAGGCCCTGGGCATCGGCCCCCTCTGACAATCCCCCCCTTTGGGAACTGGCAGGGAAGGGTCTGACCTCTGGGTTTCTGTCTTACCCAGCTCAGGCTGTCTTACCAAAGTACTTAGGACTGGGCGGCTGCTCCCCGTCTGGAGGCCGGAAGTCCAAGGCCAGGGTGCCAGCGTGGTTTGGGTTCTGATGAGGCCTCTCCTCCTGGCTTGCTGTGTCCTCACTTGGCAGAGAAAGGGAGTGAGCCCTGGTGTCTCTTTCTCTTCTTTTAGGGGCGCTAATCCCATCTTGGGGCCCCCACCCTCATGAATTTATCTAAGCCTAATTATCTCCCAAAGGCCCCATCTTCAAACACCACCACACTGGGCATTCGGGCTTCAGCATGTGAGTTTGAGGGGACACAGTTCAGGCCATCGCAGCTTCCCTTGGGGCTACAATGCTCTTGTTGCTCTGCTAGAGAAGGACAGCTGGGGCGTAGTAGGTCCTGGCGGAGTCGCGGGGCATGGCTGCTGGGAGCAGCACAGGGAGGACTTGGAGCTGGGGCAGAGGGCCCTGAAGGGTCACTGGCTCACCAGCAAGCCAGGGTCAGCTCAGAGCTCCTCCTGCAGCCAGTGACTGCCTCCCGGCCACAGGGAACACAGCTGCTGCTCTGCTCCTCTGCAAACCCCCAACATAAACACACAAAACGCTGCTTCTTGATACAATAATGAAATAAAATAGTCATCTCTGGAGTTAGCTCTAAATGGACAGTGTGAACGAGAGACAGCCAGAGACCTCAGCACCACCCGCACCTTCCGGTCTTGGGAGGAGGGGAAGCGAAGGCCCAGCCCATGAACTTCCCGTCCCACTGTCCTGGGGCTGAGCTGTGGGGTTTCTCATCAGTGCAAAGAAGCCTCCACTCCCAGGGAAGCCTCTTTTCCTTCACCCTCAAGAGGGTGGCCTTTTGTCCTTTTGTCCTCGGCTGGATGGGGAGGAAGGGATGTCCTCAGGGCAGGGCTCTTCCCAACGGGAAGAGGGTGCCGGGTGTCCAGACCCCCAGATGTCAGAGCTACCGTGGGTCAGCTGGGAGGCCTCAGGCAATAACCCATCAGCTCTCTGTGCCTCAGCCTCTCTGGGAGGCGAGCTGATGCTCTCTAGAGTCAGGAGGTAGGGAAGGATGCAGGGTGCAACCTGGGGCTCTCAGAAGTCCGGCTCCAGCCCAGGGCCTGTGCAGGTCTCAGGCCTGTGTTGCTGCTGGAAGACAGCCTTTCACCCCCAGAAATGTCACTCCATCCAAGGGGGACTGTGCAGGCATGTTTAGTCATTGTGATGATTGGCATGCCACTGGTCTAGCATGTACTGGCTTGCTGCCATTATAAAAGCCACTACCTAGCCCTGATGTGCTTCCACAGTTCCTTCCCAACCACCACATTCACCGTAATATTTGGTTTCCCATGAATTGCACGTAAATTTAATCTCAAGCTCTTATGAACATGATAATGTCAAATTTCCATCTCCCAACCTTTCCCAGTTCTGGCTCCTCTGTGGCAACGTGCGTTCCTTTTGACCAGCTTTTCTTTGTCAGGATTCCGGAGGAAGGACACACAGAGGCTTGTGTTTCTTTTTTTCAAGACCAGAAACAGCTTCATTCTCCTATCCCAATATCATATGTAATGCATAATCATTGTGAAAATTCAAATAACAAAAGAAAGTGTGTAAAAGAAAGTAAAGATTCCCCAAAGCCCTACCCATCCGAGGAGGCCAGCATGAGCCTTTGGTGACCGGTTGGTTCTTTCTGGCATTTTCCTAACATCTCACAGACACACTGTTCCCGGAAGTGTGATCCTAGTCCACATGTTTTTTCATGTATTCAGTTACTTTTGTGTTTGCTATTCTCTGCTCTTGCCTTTACTCTTACCGATGACTACTTCCAGTGGGAACAACCTGGCTCGTGTCCTTCCCCAGCTAGTCTTGATCCCACAAAGCCCTGAGGTCCCGCGGCTTGGTGAGCTTACAATTATGTCTATTAGAAAGCATCTCCTGATAGCTACACCAGGGAAGAGTTTTCAGCCATTAAAAATTATGAATTAAATATGTACCAGATGACTTGGAGCAAGTCCCAGGAAGGACTGTTGAGTGAGGAAAGCAAGATATGGAAAAACACATATTGCCTGATGCCATTTTGTACATGGAACACGGACGTCCTGAGTGTGTGTGTGTGTGTGTGTGTGTGTGTGGCGGGGGGAGTGGGGGGCCGGGTTGGTGAAATGGAGGGGAATTGGGCAAGATCCACTTGCCATTGTGATGGGTTATCTGAGGTGACCGTGGGATGCTGACATGGAAATGAGGGAGAAAAAAGGAGCTACCGCCAAGCAAAAAGGAAAAGAAAAGGAGTGAATTTAGAAAAACATGCATATGATCACACGATCTGTGCGTTTATATATAATTATGTATATTAGTGAGCATATGCATAAAGAAATACATTTTAAAGGAATTTTCAAACAAAGAATGCAAGTGTCTCCCCCACTAAGAAAGTGCACTTCGTAACAACAATCCAGATTTTTCCAGATAAATTGGGGGAGGACAGAACTCCGAGCAGCATAAGGATGTCCTGCGAAGTATCTGTCAATAGCGGGCCCTTCAGCGGCCAGGCAGGCTGGCTGGGGGCCCCGGTTCTGTGTCACCTTGAGCAGTGACTTCTCTTCCCAAAGCCTTAGTTTCCCCTCTGTGAAATGAGGGGATGATGCCTACAACTCAGGGCTGTTGTGGGAGTTAATGAGATGCAAGAATGCAAAACCCTGGCATTTAGTAAGTTTGTAGAAAACCAAGTCTTTTTGCTGTTCTGGATTTTCATCTAAAATGGGTTTGATTTTCGCCCTACCTGGGTGGCTCAGTTGGCTGCAGCATCGTTCCGAACACCAAAAGGTTGCGAGTTTGATTCCCAGTCCGAACACAATACCTAGGTTGCAGATTCGATCCCAGGTTGAGGCATGTATGGGTGGGAAGCAAATGATCAATGTTTCTCTCTCTCTCTCTCTTTCTCTTTCTCGCTCTCCCTCTCAAACCAATAAAAAGTATTAAAAAATAAATAAATAAAAATTAATAAGAAAATAAGAGTTAACCTAAAATAATAATAATAAAAAAGTAGTAGTTTGGAGTGGGAAGAATCATAGCAGTTCAATCGAAGCCTCTAGCATTGCCAATGGGAAAATCAAGGTCTGGGTAGAGGCCCAAGGTCACACAGGTGGCAGCGCTGAGGCAGACTCCAGCCCCCCTTACACCTATGCACTGTTTTTCTGCTGTGCCCTCTGACTTCCTTCTTGGTAATCATTGGGCTCATTGCCAAAACTGGGGAGCTGTGGGGTTGGAATGGCATTAGGGAGGGGACTTTTGGTCCAAGAAGTTGCTCTTGGCCCTGAACTTGCTTCTTATTATGGTGGCTTTTTCAATGGGGGACTTTCTCTTAACCCAAGAACCTTGCAGCCAAGAGCATGTACACACACACACACACACACACACACACACACACACACACACACTTCAACTCAGCCAACTGCGAGGGATTTGGGAGCACATTCTATAGCCATGATTCCACTTGGCTTTGGCTGGGGTAGTCACTCCGAACCCTGCAACTGCCTCTGACAGTGACATTCATTCCCTTTGAGGGAGGGAGGGGCTCAGCATGGCTGGCGTGGAGTGAGCTTAGAGGAGAAGAGCAGGTGACGGGTCGGGAAGGTCAACAGCGGGAGGAGGGTCAGATCAAGAGGGTCTTGCAGGCCTTTGAAAGGTGGTGATTTTTGCAAAACCTGGGAAGCCATTGGGGGCTTCTGAGCAGAGGAATGGCATTCTCGGGCTTATATCTCCACGGGTCACTGGGCTGCTGTGTAGAGAACTGACCGTGGGGAACGAGAAACAGGGAGATGGGCGGGGAGGCTGATGTCTCCAGGTGGCAGGCAGTGGTGACTTGGACCAACGGACAGCCGGGCAGAGAGTGAACCCTGCCTACTTTTCCAGGTGGGCTGGTTCTGGTTCTATGTTACAGAGCAGCTCATTGGAACTGGCTGGTGGATCAGATAGGGAGTGTGAGGGGAAACATAAAAGGAGAATAAAAATTTTAAAAAAGACAGCTGGATGGGTGGAGAGCACTCTGGGTGTTAAGATAAACAAGACTCAATCCTCATGCTTTAATGCAGACATTTCCGGCCCAGTATCCTGTCCCTTGGGAAGGAGGCATCTATGGAGCAACAAGGGTCCTGGGAGGGTGTGGGCCGGGCTGGTGTCTGCTGAGCTTCCCCTCCCGCCCGCAGGTACTTCTTTAACTGTGACACCCTCATCCCCCTGAAGAGGAAGAGGAAGTACTTCAAGGTATTCGAAGTCACCAAGACGACCGAGAGCTTTGCCAGCAAGGTCCAGAGCCTGGTGCCGGTCAAGTACGAGGTCATCGTGACGACGGGCTACGAGCCCGGGGCAGGCACGGACGCCAACGTCTTTGTGACCATCTTCGGCTCGAACGGGGACACGGGCAAGCGGGAGCTGAAGCGGAAAATGCGCAACCTCTTCGAGCGGGGCAGCACCGACCACTTCTTCCTGGAGACGCTGGACCTGGGCGAGCTGCGCAAGGTGCGCGTGGAGCACGACAGCAGCGGCTACTACTCGGGCTGGCTGGTGGACAAGGTGGAGGTCACCAACACCAGCTCGGGCGTGGCCACCATCTTCAGCTGCGGCCGGTGGCTGGACAAGAAGCGGGGAGACGGGCTCACCTGGCGAGACCTCTTCCCTGCTGTCTGAGGGGCTGGAGGTCTTCCTTCTAGCTTCTCACCCAGCTGCTCCCAACCACACCGTCCTACCCCTCACCGTGGCTTCCGGCAGACTTTCCCCGAAGCCCCCTGGAGCTGGGACTGGGGCCCAGAAGGTGACACGTGCCTCTGTGGGCCAGAACATCGGGGTCCTTCAGGGGACACGCTGGGTGACTTCTTGGGGGGCCTGCCCCTCCCCAGTCTCTGGGACCTACAGGAACCATCAACATGCGTCCCCAGCCGTGGCTGACTGGAAATAACTGCATTTTCTTTTCCAATAATAGCGGTGGCCAGGCTGACACTGCTGGGGGTGAAGATGGGAAACTGGGCTTCACCCAGGGGACAGAAGTGGGGAAGAAGATGGTGTATTTTAATAAAAAAACTAATTAACACTTTCCCCTAAAAAAGCTGGGCTAATTAAATTATTACCAACCGCACCCCACAAAGAATGCATCTTGACATCTGCTCACTGAAAATGGACCCTTTTCCCAGTTTCAATAAACCTCGTGCAAATGGAGAAAACCATCAGGAGGAAGTATTTTTCCCGGCGGGCTGGGCGTGGGGGTGGGGGATTTATGAGCCTGTGAAAGGTCCGTGATTCTTTCCATCACTTCCCAGAGAACCATTGCCAAGTGCCCGCTGGCTGCCCTGGGCTGTGATAGCACAGCTGAGGCCTGAGCAGAAGGTGATGGGTCGGAGCCTGGAACAGCCTGTTGCTGCTGCATTCCGCTGGGAGGGGAGCAGGGAGGGGTCTTGGATTATTTAGCACCTACTGCCTGGGGCTCTGTGTGGGCAATGTGGACTGAGAGCTGCCCTCCAGGCAGCAGGAGAACCGCACACTCATGTACACGTGCTCCCTCCCCCGCAACACACACTCCCTGACTGACAGTCACATAGGGGTTGGACATCACACAGCAAGAGTGCAGCGGAACTGAGTGCCCCACTTCTGATTTTCCTACAGTCCGATAGGAGGGCACCCCAGTAATGGTTTCCACTGCCCTGCTGCGCCCCCTATACCCTCCCCACACAGGGATAAATTCTTAGCAAGGCTAACTGGCTCCGAAGCAGGTTCCGGGAAGTCTAGGGGCTCTGGAGAGCAGCCAGGGTTGAAAGCACAGGCTGGTAGGCAGGCCCCAGCTGCATCTCTCACCTGCTGGGAGAGCTTGGGCCTGTTATGTCCTCTCTCAGGTCTCAGTTTCCTTATCTGTGAAATGGGGAGGATGATAGTACTTACCTGGTCGGCTATTATGAAGGCTAAATGAGTTAATATGCAGTCAGGTTTAACCCAGCACTTGCACTGAAGAGTGAGTGTGTCCATAGTGTTAAACAAGCAGGGCTCCAGAGGGCTGTGCTGGGCTGGGGAGAAGTAGCCGTTAAACAGCTTTATTGTACCTTTTTCTGTGAGCTGGTTCCTCCTCTGTCTCAGGCAAGCCTCACAACTCTTCTGGACTCTCTTTGGTTGTAAAAAGTCCACCAACCACTGTAAGTCACAAGGTCCATCTCAATTCTGTCATTTGAATCCCTGGCTTCAATATAAATTCCAAAATGTCACGAGTAGACCCCTGGGTGCGCTATGGGCGGCGTCTCTTTCTGGACTGGCAGGTGTTTGGACCCTTCCTCTCACTTCACTTGTGTGAGTTCTTTCTCAGTCCCGTCGTCCCCTCCACTCTGTCTGCTTGTTTGAGATCTGAGACCCCGCCCCCCACCCAGCTGGTTCCCAAGTTCCTGGGACCTGGGCCATTTCCATCGCAGGCAAGTTGCCCACAGCTCCACGCCCAGCGATGCCGCACACTGTCCGCTGCTGTGCCGCTGCTGGGGCTGTTCCCTCTGCTTGCCGCTCCTCACCACCCATCGCCCCCCACCGACAGCTGCTGCCCTTGGCAGAAAGGTCTTCCCTATAAGGATGGCTTCTGAGTGACAGGTTTTAGATCAGCTCCGTGTTTTCCTCACCGGATTTAGAGACAAGTCTACATGAAAGACTATTTGGAAAGAACCTTGATTGTATTGCTTTCGAGTAACTGCTAACCAAGTATTTCCAAATAAGTGTCTCCAGGGGTCTACATCAAAGAAAAGATTAAAACTCGTTTGCAATTAGCACGAGCTATTTACATACAAACTGTTGCACCGCAGTCTAAAAAACACTCTTACTCTTAAGTAGGTTAAACAAAAGCCTGCCGTTATTATTTCCTCAGCTCCCGCTGAGCAACCCTTTCCTCCCAAGATTTTGAAAGAAGTCAACTCAGCCAGTTCAGATACGTTATGAATCTGATGAGGTGGGGTCACACCGGTGAGGTCAGAAGCACTGTGGGTGCCCCTCTTCTGTTGGACCCCTGTGCTGTGTGTCCATCTTAAATGGCACCCGCATTACTCCTAGGCCCTTGGCAGAGCATGGCACGGGCGGGCACCCAAATGCCCTGAGCGAGGACAAGGTGAGGGGCTTCAGGAACAGATGGGATGTTTGGCCTCAGAAAAGGAAAAGAAGGAGGTTTGGGACAGATGGGCCTTGAGAGTGAATGTCCTTTAAAGGGGGAAAGAGCTCGTTAGCCCTAATTTAATGGGTAGGGTGGGTAGTGGCACCTGGCTGGTGGGGGAGGTGGTGTTGATTATGAGCCGCAGGGAAGATGGGTTTGCACTCCCAGCCTAGAGGTCTCAATATGGCCTGGGGCGAGGTGAGATCATGTGTGATGGTTAATTTTATGTGTCACTTTGGCCCCTGGGAGCCCAGGTTAAACATTATTTCTAGGCGTGTCTGTGAGAGTGTTTCTAGGTGAGAATAGCATTTGAATCAGTGGACTCGGTCAAGTGGATCACCCTCCCTGACCTGGGCGTGGGAGTGGGGGAGCCTCATCTCATCCACTGAGGCCTGAATAGAAGAAAATGGAGGGGAAGGGAGTCTATCCGCCTTCCGCCTGCCTGCTTGCATGACAGACATCGGTGCCCACAGCAAGTCATTCCAACAGCTTAGTTGGCACACAGCTCCCTCTTCTTCTGCCCTTGCACTGAGACTTACACCATCAGCTCTCCCGGTCCTGAGGCTTTCAGACTCAAACTGAATGGCAGCACCGGCTTTCCTGGGTCCCAGCTGGCAGACAACAGGTCGTGGGACTCTTCCGCCTCTATAATCACAGGAGCTAATTCTTTCTCTTGATAAATCTCCAGATATACAGAGATATCTTATCCACCTATCTATCCATCCATCCACCCATCCATCCATCCATCATCCATCCATCATTTATCTATCTATCTATCTATCTATCTATCTATCTATCTATGTATCTACCTACCTACCTACCTACCTACCTGTCATCTCCTATTGGTTCTGTTTCCCTGAGAGTCCTGACTAATACAGACAGATGTTCTTCCTCCTAAACCTCCTGAGGATCTTCATGGTGATGAGAGTCATGGCCTGCATGGAGGATGAGCCTGCATGTTTTCTGAGAAGTCCCTTTCCTCCCGGGCTCTGCAATGGAAAGTGCCAGAAGGGAGTAGCGACTAGGAAGGGTACATTTGTCCATGTAAAGGGGTAGGACAAAATCCAAGGAAAGAGAACCATTTCCCTCAAAATTGCTCAGGCCCTAGGGGAACCTCTGCTGTGTAAACAGAGATTACCTAGACAAGGATAATGGAGGAGGTGGCGTCTATAAATAAAGACCTGTGGCATGTGGAAACCGGAAGGAGCCTAGTCTACCCGTCCACATTTTTACAGCTAGAAACCGGAGAAGGGCAGTGTCTTTCCCATCCACATGCAGGTGAGTGATGGGGCCAGGACTAGTGAGCCCTGATTCGTGGATCGAGAGACATAGATGGAAAATGAGGAAAGCGACAGACAGTATCTGGGGTCATCTTACTTGAACAAAAACGAGGGATTTAAACATTCATTAACCTAATGTAAACTATGGACTTTAGTTAATAATAATGTGTGGATGTGGGCTCATCAATTGTAACCATGTACCACACTAAGGCAAGATGTGAATAATAGAAGTAACTGGGTGGTGGTGGAGAAGAGACTGTATCAGAACGCTGAACGTTCTGCTCAGTTTTCTGTAAGCCCAAAACCGCTCTAAAAAGTGAAGTCTATTACTTTTACAAATAGTTCCTTCATATGGGTTCTGTTTGCAGTTGATGAAAGAAAGCCATCTTCCGGTTCACTGAGCCGCACACGGAGACCAGGCTCTAGACCAGCCGTGGGTAAACTACGGCCCGCGGGCCGGATCCGGCTGTTTGAAATGAATAAAACTAAAAAAAAAAAAGAGCGTACCCTTTTATGTAATGATGTTTACTTTGAATTTATATTAGTTCACACAAACACTCCATCCATGCTTTTGTTCCGGCCCTCCGGTCCAGTTTAAGAACCCATTGTGGCCCTCGAGTCAAAAAGTTTGCCCACCCCTGCAGATGCTGAGTGTCTGAATTGGGCTCTTCCAAAGGAATAAGAAATCCATGCCAACCATCAAAATCACATTCCTTCTCCCCTACAGGGAAACTGAGATGCCCTCCAAGTCAAAACACAAGAGGTTACATTTGGGGATTGATCAAGAATGGGAACTTTCCCCTTTAAAAACCATAAACCAAAGTTTAGGAAACAGGTTAATTAGATGTTTGGTTTACAGCATGGAAAAGATTCTTTGAGAGATAAAGAGGTTGAAGAAAAGAATGCATGAGACAAGGAAAGAAAGGAGGAGGTGGAGGAGGAAGCAGAGGAAGAAGAAACGGGAGGGGAGGAGGGGAAAGGGAAGCAGGTGAAAGGGAGGGAGGAGGAGGAATGGACGTGGGAAACATACCTGCTGGGCCTCCAATAATGGACAAGACCAGGTCTGTGAGAGGCTTTCTCCAGACACACCCGGGTCTGCACAGAAATAAGCACCCTGCACCAATGAGGTGTAGTTAGCAATGCAGGTCATTTTTATTAGTTATAAATAAAGTACAAAAAATCCACCAAAAGTGAATCTAAGCATTTACACGATTCCTAATGTCTCCGCCTTTTCATTGATGCACTATTGCTTTAATATTCATAATAAATATTCTTCTAGCTTTCTGCTATAAAATAGTCTATGTAGCAAAATGTTGCACAGCACAACAGAACAGAACAGCAGGAGGATTACAAAAAAGGACAATC